CAGGGAAGGCCTTGAGCGTGCTCATGGTAAGGAAGCTAGTCGTGTTAGACTTCTTCAAGGTGGACGCTATATGGAGGTTGCCTTGTGAGTATCTGTATCTCATTTGATGCATATCTCCGAATTATTATTCTCTGTATCAAATTTGGCAAGTCATTTCACTTAACTTTTTAATGTTCTTATTATGTTTTATTTCTTTTCATCTAGGCATGTACGGCTGGAGCTGTTAGAAGGAGTTGTTGCATATCACAGTGGTTGGTTACAAAAATCTAGACAATCTCTGAGTTCTGCCCAAGCCAAATATATCCAGGTCAGCCTGGTTGACTTTAAAAATTTGGCAATAATCTCTTTGTTGTTTTTATGCCATCATTTTATTCCAAAATTATTTTTTCGTTTGATTATTCTTCTGTAAATATTATAAATAGGTGAGCTAGTGTGTGATGTTTCCACTTACCAAGTTACCATCTGATGCAATGGTTAGGAAGAAAAGAGGAAACTGGTTTTAGTTTTTACTGCCAATAGATTATTTATGCTTGTTCCTCTCTTATTTTTTCATTATCATAAAAATAGCATCTCTTTTTTTTTGTATTAAAAAATTTATTGTATTTTTCTTCAAACAGCTTCAAATTCCTGATGAGGCGTTGTCATTAATTATGAGCATGGGCTATAAAGAAAGAGATGCAAAGAAAGCACTGAGAATGAACAATCAAGATGTTCAAAGCGCTGTTAATTTTCTGATTGAGGAGAAAGAGAAACACAAAAGGAAAAAAGAGGAGAATCTTACTAGACAAAGAGACCTCCTGTGGGTTAATTTTCTTTTAATGCCAAGTTACCCACCCGTGTTTTTGTTTTTTTTCGTGTTTCTCGAATTTATAAAATTCTAAGCTTTGAGTGCCATGGATTTCAGGGAGCAAAGACTCTACGGAATGACTGCTCTAAAAAAAGCTGTTAATCTCCACTGTCTAAATGAATTGGTTTTGGTCGGGTAAGTAGTAAATAAGTGTGTGACGGGATGATTCGAAGTTGCTGTATGGTTGATTCTGAGATGATGCATCATTGTTGACCTTCGTAGGTTTCTGAATGCTTAGGATATTTATCTATCTCTGATGAGGTAAATTAACCATTTATTTCCAAAAAAATTTGGGATTATATTGATCAATCTTTGATGAAATCAGCCATATATTTCTAACAAAACCTTTGCTCTTATCGTTTCAGGTGCTGCAGTATGCTTCAGTTTTGCTTCAGACCTTTGCTCCCCCGCCAATGCAGATAATGTGGCATCTAAACCATTCAGAACCAAATCATCTAGTTTGGTGGATATGAATGAAGAACAGTTACTTGTGTGGGCGGATTATATTGTTTAGATAATCATAGAATTAAAGATGGTTGAACTTTGATTTAGGCAAATGACATTATACCTGAATGTTGGAGTTCGAGAATAATATTATACAAATTACAAATATTGCATCGAATGATTGTTCTGCTCAATCCTTTGGTTTTTTTCTTAATACACGTCTGTCTTTCGGAATGTTTCACAAACCCTCACTAAAGTAATTCAAAGTGCGGACAGCTGAATGATTATAGATTTATAGACATAAGAATGTATCAGTCATCCTTACCGAAATTGGATTTAGAGTGTAGCATATTATGTACTTCTGGAGGCCTTTCCTTGCTTTAACATTCATGTCTTATTGCAATTAGTTTTGTATTGCGTAAATCTATTGTCATTACCCTACTGCTTCTGGTAACTATAAGTCTATAACTAATATATTTTCACTACATATTGTATTTTATATTTCTGGTCACCTAAGTAGTACTGCCTGCATTGCAGGGCGGCTGCAACTGCATTGTCTAAGAGACATGCAGAAGGCACATTGCCTGTTGAAGACTTCAACTTAGAACTTGAAAACCAGAGCGGAGAAAAAGTGCAGCTTGGATCTGATACTGATCAGCGGTATTGATAATACTCAGAGGCATATGATTCTATGAAGCCTCAATAGAGTTACGCTTGGTATATAAACTTCTAAGCCTGTAATGACTTTGTGCTTGATTTTGCAGAGCTATAATGATGGGCCTCATGCTTCATGCAAATGGCAAAGCACTTATCAGAAAGCAACAGTTTAAAGAAGCACTTGAGGTTCTAACAATGGGAGAGGTTTGCAGATGGAACTTGTCATAATTGAGATCTCTCTTGAATGCTTTCCATGCCTTTTATTCGGATTGTGATTGAGTTTGTCGCATATAGCTATGCACTAATTATAATAAGAATTTCCTAGAATATACGAGAACATTTTTTTGATGACGTTTAGCTTGCTTTTGTTACAACTTGGCAAAAAAAATGCTACCACATTCTAGGTTTTAATAAGAAATATAATTAGCCTTATTTTAGCTTTTGAATAGTGATGTCAAACACCTCCATGTGTTTGCTGACATCATTGTGGTGGCTTCTTTCTCATCGAGTTTCCAGTAGCTAGACATATGAGAATTATGAGTTATTTTTAAAATTTTAAATTCTTCCAACTATTACTCAAATTACATAATAAATGGCATTTGTCCTTTTACAGGAGGCCTTCTCTCTTTGCAATCCCAAAGTTATTGAGGTGCGCGATTGTTTTGATTTTTTTGCACTAACCCGCAGTATATAATATATGATTTTTTTGTTTGTCTTGTTGTGAAAATGTGTTTTGTCTACTTATTGGCATGTATACCTTAAGTTACTTTGGATACTGAACTTGATTTTGCAGATACTAATATAGAATAAGCCTTAAATAGCTTCTTAAGAAAATAAACAATGCATTATGGTTGCAATATTAACTGTTTCATACATAAATGATTTCAATTCATGATATAAGAATGGACTCCTAACCATCCCTTATGGCTCACAGTTGGTTGACAATGTAGCCATTCTACAAATAGACTTGGTGTGGTGTTACTTCATGCTCAAAGACATGAGTTGGCTCTCAGATGCAGGCGCCCGTCTTGCAAAAGCCAGGGAAGGCCTTGAGCGTGCTCATGGTAAGGAAGCTAGTCGTGTTAGACTTCTTCAAGGTGGACGCTATCTGGAGGTTGCCTTGTGAGTACCTGTATCTCATTTGTTGCATATCTCCGAATTATTATTACTCTGTATCAAACCACTTAACTTTTTAATGTTATTAGCTTATTATTATGTGTTATTTTTTTTCATCTAGGCATGTACGGCTGGAGCTGTTAGAAGGAGTTGTTGCATATCACAGTGGTTGGTTACAAAAATCTAGACAATCTCTGAGTTCTGCCCAAGCCAAATATATCCAGGTCAGCCTGGTCGACTTGATAAATTTGGCAATAATCTTTTTGTTGTTTTATGCCATCATTTTATTCCAAAAGTTTTTTTTCGTTCGATTATTTTTCTGTAGATAATAAATAGGTGCGCTAGTGTGTGATGTTTCCACCTACCAAGTTACCATCTGATGCAATGTTTAGGAAGAAAAAAGTAAACTGGTTTTAGTTTTTACTGCTGTATATATTATTTATGCTTGTTCCTCTTTTATTTTTTTCATTATCATAAAAATAGCATCTCTTTTTTTTTTTGTGTGTTAAATTTTTTTTTGTATTTTTCTTCAAACAGCTTCAAATTCCTGATGAGGCATTGTCATTAATTATGAGCATGGGCTATAAATAAAGAAAGAGATGCAAAGAAAGCACTGAGAATGAACAATCAAGATGTTCAAAGCGCTGTTAATTTTCTGATTGAGGAGAAGGAGAAAAACAAAAGGAAAAAAGAGGAGAATCTTACTAGACAAAGAGACCTCCTGTGGGTTAATTTTCTTTTAATGTCAAGTTACCCACCCGTGTTTTTTTTTTTTTTTGGGTTTCTTGAATTTATAAAATTATAAGCTTTGCATGCCATGGATTTCAGGGAGCAAAGACTAAAAAAACCTGTTAATCTCCACTATCTAAATGAATTGGTTTTGGTCGGGTAAGTAGTAAATAAGTGTGTGACGGATGATTCGAAGTTGCTGTATGGTTGATTCTGAGATGATGCATCACTGTTGACCTTTGTAGGTTTGAGAAGGGGCTAGCTGCAGAAGCCCTCCGTAGAAATGAAAATGACATGCAGAAGGCTCTGGATGACCTCACTAATCCACAAACCAATTCTGCTATTCAGGTTATATATTTACTAGTAGTTGACATCTGTTCTTCTAGTCTAGTTATTGTGTCTTTATGCATCATAATTTGCCAAGTAGAGCACTGGATTTGGATTTGTACAAACTAAAACAATTTCCTCTTTTCCTTTATGTGTGTATTCAGCAATACATTGAGTCAAACAAAAAGAAAAGGTTGCGTAATGCACAGAATGCCGCAATTGAACAGATTGCTGCTATGGGTTTCCCAAGAGAATCAGGTAACTTTGTTTCTAACATGGTTATGTTCTGTTTGTGCAAAAGATGTTGTGTTTTTAACACGTCGCAAACATGCAAACTCAGTGATCGCAGCTGTTCGCACTTTTGGGACACGGCAAACAGCTTTGAATAACCTTCTAGGCCAATCTTCTTCGTCCATTACCAGCAATCTTGCGCCAGTTGGCAACGAAGGCGGCTTGGGGCAAGATGGTAATTTCCCAAACAATGATGGTGAACAGGCATCGGGTAGGAATGAAGATTTAGAGGAAGACGCTTTTGGAGATCAGAGTGAGACTGGATTAGTTCAGGAGGAGACCCGTGACGTTGAAATGGAGAGGGAGCTTACTGAGGAATTGCTGAAAGGAGACGCCTACTCTGACTATGACCTTGAGCTTACCAAAGAAGGCGAAGCGATCGCCCAATATCTGACTCTTTTAACATCTTCGTGCTAAATCTTTTGTACCAATCTACTTGTAAATTTCTCTTCGATCACGAATTGCTGGAATATGTTTCTATTTGAATGAGTATTTGCCTGTTCCATATTTCTTGGTTTCAGTTTTCTAGCTTTATTGTTCGTTTTTGAAGAGCTCGCCAAATCATGATAGTGGTGCAGGATCAGATTATAATAGACCCCTTTGAGTGCCAAAATTAGGTGCCAAGAAATCTTCAAAACGACTCTTCATATGGCATATTCTTTGTTTTTCTTGTATATCTGTCTAATACTAATTTACGAGTAATACAATACGCATTTTGCACATTATAAGAATGCGTGTATGCACGTTTTAGAATTACTCAATGCTCATCATAAAAATACAACAAAAAATTACTCCGTACATTTATGAGTAACGTAATACTCATTTATTTAAAAAATGGTTATATCCACAGTTTAGAATTATACAATATATACAAAATGTATAAAATTTATACCATTGGATTCCATATTTTTGACACATCATTTTAACATAATTTGTTTGTCAAGAAAATAGGTTCACTTGAACAAATTATATTATTTGCATAGTAGAGAACCAAACTATTCTTTTTATTCCCTTTCACCTTATTCTATTTTTTTCAACTCTACTAGCAATTTAATCGTTTAAATTAAATTCCAAATTGATTGTTTCTGATGGGTTATGGAACCCGGGGGCCTAGGTAACTAGGCGGATGAGTATCGAACTAAGTCGAGGAAGAGGAGTATATATAATTGGAGAGTGGGGGCTAGGGTTTACATACAAAGACCAATGGGCCGGCCAACAGACTGGGCTGCCCTAAATAAGTAATTAATAAACGACTAACGGGCCGATCGCACAAACTGGACCGCCCCGACTAATATTATACAAAGACCGGATACCCCCTGTCCAGGGTATCCATCACTTTCTAACTAAATAATAATAACCTTTTTTTCTTTGTTTTTTTTAAATTTTATTACTATTGTTTTTTTTCCGAATTTTCTCTTTTTTAAAAAAAATATTTTTATTGCTTTGTACTAGAAAGTTAAAAATTTCTAGACCGATTTTCAGACGTTACATTTCTCACCTTCTTAAGAAAAATTCCATCCTCGAAATTTCTTCAAGTCATATCACACCTGGTTAGGAAAGGAGTGTTTGTTTTCATAAAAGTAATTTAAATTTAGACATTTTTTACGTAAATAGTATTTATACTTACGATTAATTAAAGAACAAGATTTTCAAAGTAGCAAGAAAATTTTGATACTTACAATTCGTATATTACCAAATGACATACACAATTTTTGTTTTTGAAATAATATGTATAGTACTCGTATCTATACTTTAGGAAAATGTACAAAACTTTCTTTTTATTATCTTCTTAAAACTTCCCTTGCATAATAAATGTAGTGGTTGTATTAGCCATGACTATTTCTCATTTTCCTGTGTATGTAGATTTGCTGCTTTAGGTTCCTTTATATGTAAATGAAATATACACTTTCCCATAAAAGGTAAACCGGAGTAACTTACTCCGTTTATAATTTAATATTTAATGAAACGGAGTAGCCAATTCCGTTTCGAGTAATTATTTAACGAAACGGAGTAACCAACTGTGTCCCTCTTTTTTTTATCAAATTTTTTTTCTTAATTTTTCAACTTGGTTCCTCAATTGTTTTCTTAAACTCCATTAGGGTTATTTTTTTTAAACTCCGTCCCTCTTTTTTTTTTTTAAATCAATTTTTTTCTTAGTGTTTCAACTTTGTTCCTCAATTTTTTTCAAACTCCATTAGGGTCAATTTTTTTAAACTCCGTCCCTCTTTTTTTTAAATCAATTTTTTTTCTTAATTTTTCAACTTTGTTCCTCAATTTTCTTTAAAAAAAAACTCTTTTAGGGTCAATTTTTTTAAAACTCCGTCCCACTTTTTGTAAATCAATTTTTTTCTCTTAATTTTTCAACTTTGTTCCTCAATTTTTTTTAAAACTCCATTAGGGTCATTTTTTTTTAAACTCTGCCCCTCTTGCTTTTGCAATCAATTTTTTTATTTTTTCCTTTATTTCTCATAATTGAAAAAGTGAAAAAATATTGTAAAAAGCAGCAATTTAATTACATATAATGAAACAAACAATCTACTAATAATAAAATTCATAAATAAAATAATTATATATTGACTTTAAATAATGCACCATACACCGAAATTTATTGATCGAGTACATATAATTTATTCATAAAAATAAGGTTAAAAAACACATGCCATAACTATTTTTTTTGTGAAATTCATAAAACATAAACTTAGACATCATTGATTGGAAGAGGTCTTGAACCGACATAGACCAAATATTTCAACATAACACATCATAAACAAATAAATTATCTAACCAAATATTTCAACATAAACAAATATCTGAGCAAACATTTTAAAACCTTGAAACATTAAGTACCACATCGTGTTCCACGTCGATTAATGTCGTAGACAAAGACTCTGCTCTCTCAAGTAATAAGGTGTGTGAGTGTCGCTCTGAAATGCTCCGCGCCTCCAATGATTACTTCAACTGCATCATATTCACGTGATGCTTTTTGTATAAAATGCCGCCATGTTGGTTCATCGTTGATTGAGAGAGGTCGTGAACCAACATAAACCCCTGATTAATGTCTGGGAAATTTGCCATAGATACATTCCACGCCATCGAGTTCGTCTTGAATTACATTACTTGACCAAGAAAGGTGTCGTAAATATATTTTGTTCAAATAATTTTTGTCACTTATAAATAAATTATAAAACTCAAAAATAAAATATTTTTCTTTATCAATAAAATATTTTTGTTTTTAAAATATATTTTTTTGATAATTTTAGTTATCATTAAACAAAATATACTATAATAAAATTTAAATCTACAATTACTATTTATTGACTTTAAGTGGACTTTATACAATGACATAAAAAGAAGAATAAAAAATACAAGAAAGTGTTCAGGGAAAGATACCAAAGATTGGGGTAGGCCTGATGTTCCCAGTCCAATCGAGCTCTTTTTTTCCCTGAAACCGATGTGCGACCGGTGTACCCAATTCAATTGGGCTCAGGCTTGTTGGAAATATGTGCAATGTCGGTGTGAGACTGGTGTACCAGTTCGACTGGATCACATATTTTCTTTATTTTTTTCATTTATACTGCACAAGATCGGTGTGACACAAGTGTATCAGTTCGACTCGGTTGCAGTCTTTTTAATAAGTGCAAGACTGGTGTGAGACCAGCGTACCTGGTCGGGCCTGTATCACATACTTTTATCATTTTTTTGAGTTCAATTCGATTAAACATTGACCGGGTGATAAGTCCGTTTTGAGTTCAATTCGATTGAGTTCAGTTCAATAGCATATGGTAGTTTATTTTATTATATTTTTCAAATCAAATCGAATCAGTCTAGTTATCATTATTGATATTTTTAAAATTTTTTTACACATTTTACTCTTTTTCTAGATATAATTATCTTTAATAGCCACCTTACACAAAAATTAGCCAAAATTTTAAATTTTTTTCTTTAAATTGCACATATTAAGGGTGGGCGCGGTCCGTGATGGTCCGTGATACTACCGGAACCTATCACGGACTACTATTATTTAAACGGTTCGATTTTGGTACGGAATGAACTCCAAAACCATTCGGTACCATTCCATTTTGAAACGGAACGGTACAATACCATACCCATGCTTAAACCGTGCAAAAAAAAAATGAACGTACTTTACTTAAAGAATATTAGAATTTAATGTAAAAATTTGTATAAAAATGCACAAGAATGTTAAATAAAAGTATTGACTTCAAATTTAAACGGATCATAAACATAAAGAATAAAAGATAACGAGTCCAAAGTTAAAAAATATTTTTTTTTCGAACTCATATAATATCGAAATACTAGTAACTATAAAAAAATAATGTCAATAGTAATGATAAATATAATAACAACAATAATATTGAGAGAGTTTAAAAGTGAATAATATAATACGAAGTACTCTATACACGGTAAAATGAAGTAGACAAATACTCCATAATTATTTGAGATACGTACTACGTATATAGTGTTGGACGGTTCGGTCCGTGATAATCGGTTTTAAATATTTGTATCACGGTCCCGTCCCATTTGGTATCGGTTCGGTTTTGGTTCGTGATGAAAAAAATCAATCCCGTTTAAAAACACTATAAAGGGTTCGGTACCATTACGGTCCGGTATGGAACCATGCTAGTTCGGTTTTTTTACCCACCCCTAGCACATATAGTCTTTTTATTGGCTAACTTTAATAAGTTTTGTAAATATATAAATTTGGATACTAATGTGTTGAAAATAAAATCATTGATTTAGTGAATAAATATTAACTTGTAAAATACGTTAAGGTCAAATATTTGTAACTTGTCATTTAAAATGATGTTGTTTAACTACTTCAAATTGAGTATGAGCAGTATATTTTTCTGAAAATTTGATATTTCAATGATTGCATTGTAAGTTTGAAGAAAAAAAAATCAAAAAAAAAAAATAATCAAAGAACACACTTTTGTGAGACCAAGTTTTGGAGTGAATTGAAAAGTCAAAAAGCATTTGGTTTTATGTCAAATGATGAGACTTATATTGAAGTGAGTGCCAAAAAGCATGCGGTTCTATGTTGTGTGATGAGGTTTTTGAGTGAATAAAAAATCCAAAAAACTCGTGGTTCTATGTCATGGGATGTGGATCAAAGTTTTTGCTTGTGTCAACATGATAAAGTGAAGATCTACAAAAAAAATCCAAACTTACTCTTTGCATAGGAATAAATGATAATTCCAGAAAAGTTTTTTTTTGTTTTTCAATATACATATTTTTTACCTTAAATTATTTTGCAGTTATTACCAAACACTTACAATTTTGTTTGTTTTAGACATTAGTATCTAAATTTGTTAATGGACAACTTTTACATTTAGTCAATAACATTAATTTATGTGCATCTTTTAGAAAAAGAAATAAAAATATTTTGCTAACTTTTTGTAAAAAGGGTGCTATTTCTAGTGATCTTATTTTTGTAAAGATTAAATAATGTAAAAAAAGTTTTGTGCAACAAATTGTTTAAAAGTGTGGTCAATAGTTTCTCCAAAATCTTTTTAATAAGTGTTTGATTCAAAATTTCATTTATTGTTGTGCTTTGTTGCTTGAGGGCAAGCAACGCTTAAGTGTGAGGAATTTGATAAGTCCGTTTTGTACGCACTTATCTTCTCTATATTTAATGTGTTATTATCCAATTTTGGATTAAACAAATCAATTTCTCAATTGTTTTTATATCTTTTATTCATAATTGTAAAAGTATACAAAAGTTAGGTTTTGTTGTAAAAAGAATAAAAATTGAGTCAAAAGTGATACAAAAAGGTAAAAGATTGTGCAAATGGAATGCAACGGATCAAGGAGACAAAAGATAGTGAAGATCATTGAACTAAAAAATATACATTGAAATATGGCAATGCATCCCGTCAAAAGATTTGAGCTTAAATAGATTGAAAAAGCACCAAAAAAAATTGTTTGAAAAGAGAAGGTTAAAAAAAGTTGTTTTGATTCAAAATTAATTCTTTTGACCCAAATTGGTTCGGATTTTGAAGTCAGCGCAGAAGGAAAAGTTGTTCAGAATAAAATTTTAAGCAAGTATGTATTTTTAGAAAATATTTTTGGACCGGGTCAAAATCCGGCCAACCAGGCGCTGCCACGTGGCGCAACCTGGCTGGCCGGCGAAATGGGGCAGCAGCAGCAAAAGAAAAGCTCAAAAGAACAAGTTAAAGTCAGCCGCCATCATCATCAAATATATCTTGGATACAAAGGATTGGAGTGACGCATCCTTTCGCACGCCTGGACCTTAGGCCCACGCCTCTCAAAAGGTCTGGACCGAAATCTTCTCCTATAAAAGGAGGTTTCGCCCCTCCATTCCATATCAAGCCTTCTTCCGGGTCTTTAAGGCCCGGAGCTCCATTCTCCTTTCTTTTCTTAGTTATATTTTAATATTTTAGTTTACTTTTGTTCCGGTTGTCCCAAAGTGACTCCGACTCTGCTTTCGATTGTAAGTTTATTTTTACAACTTTTAATAAAATGTTCTTTTATTTTATGCACTGTTAATATTTAGTATGGGTTAGGACCCGAATTAGGGTCATGGCTAAATTTGGGCATATACTCTGTATGTTTATTTAATAGTTGGAATAATTGTTCTAGAATTATTTTTATTGTTAAATTAATTAATTATGTCGATAGAAAAATTAATTAATAATTGGAAATTAGTTTTTACCTTATCTATGAGGATATAAAATTAATTAAGCCAAACTTTTTGGAACACATTAATGTTGCCTTGAGAGAGGATAAGTTAATGAAACATTTGTGACAGAAATATTATTATTCCAATTATTGATTAAATATGTGACAACAGTAGTTAACTCACATGATGCTTTGGCCCGAAGTCTAGTCCTATACCCGTACTATTTATTTTCTTTCTATCAAAAGCACCGAGTAGTTAGTTTATTATTATTTTCAAATAAAATCGAGAAGACTTTCAGACCCGTCCTAACCTTCGTCTAGTTGGAAAAATTAGCTAATTCCCTTTGTACACTCCTCGAGAGACACGACACTCGGAGAAAACTAACCCATCATTGGGAAGGTTGATTTACCGAAAAACTCAATCATCACCGGGCGGACACGTTTGCCACCTATTTCGAACCGTCTTGCAAATAGTCTTTTCAGAAAAAGTTCAACTGTTATTTTTTTATCGTGTCAATACGGTTCATCTATTTGACCAGGCTGGTTGGTTTTATTTCAAATGCTCAATTTGATTGAACATTGACCGTGAGGATAGGGTTGTAACCCTTTCCTTACCGGTCTTGAGAGAAGTCTTTTTAGATAAAGATCAACTTTATTGAACATTGGCACGGTCCACATCCGGTTTTAGCGGATGATAAAACGGTTGTTCAACACCACATTCTTCTTTTCCTCCCGACGAACTTCTTCAAGAGCCTCTCCAAATGTTCTTCCGCCCTGTCTACCCGGTTGCTGAGTGGTTCAGCATGCGTGCGCATCGCCACTCTAGGCTGGCTTTCTGTCTAGCCCTCCGCTCGAGGCACCCTACTGTGTTGGGGCTCATCACGGAGACGAGGGTTAGAGTGCCCGATCCAACGAGGTCGCCTACCACCTCCTAGTCTGTAGAATGTGCCTGGCTAAGGAACCTTCACCCCCAACCACTCCAATTGGCCGGTGGATTCTGGTTTCACCCCTCGTGTCCTAGCCGCAGGAACGCTGACCATCGTGAACCTTCCGGTTGGACAGCTTTTCCCTGCAGCTTTTTTGGCCCCTGAGAATATCCCAATCTTTGTCCTTGCTGCGTACAGAGCGCACGTCCCCGTCAGGTGTGACCTGAGTGGAGAGTTTGTGGGATCTGCTCCTCTTGGACCAAAAAGGACCTGCCCTCTCCAGCTCCTCGGGCAGATATGTTGAGATGACCGACCGAGTGGTACTAGCCGGTTGAAATGGCGGGGGATGCCCCAGCGTGTTGGGAAGAGATTTATTTTGAGCCACATACAGCATGGGGATACAACACAGGGATGAAAAGAGTAAATCTCCAGGGTTGTTGGAACATGGGAAGAAATTATCGAAAGTTTTGGAGGGCCTAACTAGGCGTTGTTTGAGTAGTGAAGGATGTGATCATGGGGGAGAAAAGAGAAGGTAATGATGTGATTCCTCCCGGGATCAGGGTAACACCAAGTTTTGGAGGGCCTGACTAGCGTTGTTTGAGTAGTGAAGGCTGTGATCATGGGGGAGAAAAGAGAAGGTAATGATATGATTCCTCCCGGGATCAGGGTAACGCCCTCCACCGGGGTGGAAATTTGGGAAATGATGGATTCCATATTGTTGTTTGTCATGGCTTTTTTTGTAAAGAGATCCCGCGGGTGGCGCCAATTTGATGGTGTAAAACCAACGTGAGTACTAAGTCCGATTAAACGAAAGGGTTGTATGTGGGAACACCTGTAACCCGAGTACTTATTAATAATGTAGGGACCGATTACAAGTTTACAAGCCGTGTGGATTCTTAATTGCCTCCTCTCTTTATGAGACTTTCACTCATATTTATAATAATAGAAAATACATTGTTCAACATTAGTGTTCATCTCAAGTCATCCACCTAGGCAGTCTTCAAGCCGACCAGTCTTCAAGCCGACAAGTCTTCAAGTCACTTCAAGTCATCCACCTGGGCAGTTTTCAAGTCATGATCTTACCGTTCTGACCCCCAACATTCACCCGATCAGATTAACGGGGACGGTGAGGCCAAGCCTTGTCAGACTTTAAGCATTCTGCGAATGAAGTCACGATCCCATAGGTCTGACCCCTGACATGCACCCGGTCAGATTACCGGGGTCGGTGAGGTCAGGTGGGATTATACTTTGGTAGCTCCTGGGGCCTGTGAACTTATTGGGTGGAACCAATGGGTTTTACCCATTAATAATAATAATAATAATAATAATAATAATAATAACAACAACAACAACAACAACAACAACAACAATAATAATAATGATGATAATAATTTTTGATTGAATCTGATTTGATCTAGTTTGATCTTATCTGAATTAATCTGATTGGATCTGATTTTATCTACCTGATCTGATCTGATTTTAATAAAATAAGAAAAAAGCGGAAAAAATAAATTGAACGGAACAAGTCATAAGTCTAGATTTTTGAATTTGAAATTCAAAAGGGTCCTAAATCATAATCCAATTTTTCAAACATAACATTAGATTTTGGATTAAGATATTTGTACCCCAAGTTTTTGTAGCCGCTTTGTACCTTGCAGGTTTGCAATAACATTTTGTGTTGGTGTAAAATTAATTTTTGTTAACGCACTAACATTTTGTGTCCGTGTTAATTTCTGTTAAAGCACCAAGACTTGTGTCGGTATAAACCATCAAAATGTTTGTGCATAATTTTGATGTACAAATGAAGTACTTTTTGGTGTAAATGTAGCATGGTTGTTAGATTTTTCTCATTTTCTTCTTGTTTTTGCCCTGCCACATCTTAACCAAATTCAGAAGTCTAAGCTCTACCGTCTTCCACCTAATTCTGCTTTGCGTGTAAATCAGTAAAGCCACCATTGTATAAGAATATGTTGCGCAAATCAATCCCAATTGCTCGGAAGAATGTATAGTCATGGACACAGATTTTGCTTTACGGGTTGATCGTGCATTGTTTGTATCTAAGAATGATGGCGGAAGTTAAAACGTTGAATCCTGCTCCGCCGCCCCTCAACCCACCGCCGCCGGGTCTTAGCCGCTTCCCGGCTCTCAATCCTCCACACAAGACCCTGACTTTTCATCAGATATTGGTCCTTCTCCTCACCTTCGCAGCTTACGCCGCCTTCCACGCTTCCCGCAAACCTCCAAGCATTGTTAAATCTGTGATCGGCCCAGATCCCAAAACCCTCAACACCTCCAGCATCAGTAAGGCGGCAGGGAATTTCACCGGATGGTCACCGTTCGACGGCCCAAGCGGACCTCACAGACTTGGGGAGCTCGATCTGGCCTTTCTGTTATCTTACTCTGTGGGGATGTATTTCGCGGGTCATATAGGTGATACCATTGATCTGAGGCTTTTCTTGACATTGGGAATGGTGGGGAGTGGGGTATTTGTTACAGCCTTTGGGTTGGGTTATTTTCTTGATGTGCATAGGCTGTCGTTCTTCGTGGGTGTTCAGGTTTTGTGTGGATTGTTTCAGTCAATCGGGTGGCCTTGCGTGGTTGCAGTGCTGGGGAATTGGTTTGGGAAGGCGAAGAGGGGGCTCATAATGGGGGTCTGGAATTCCCACACCTCCGTAGGGAACATCATAGGCTCCCTAGTTGCCTCCTCAGTTTTGGGTTTTGGCTGGGGATGGTCCTTCGTGTTGCCTGGGGTTTTCATTGTGGCCATGGCAATCCCAGTCCATCTGTTTCTTGTTGTGAGACCCCAAGATATTGGGTTTGAAATCGCAGCCAGGACAAATGCAGAGGGAGTGGCATTGGTGAACTGCGAGGATGGAGGGGATGTAGTGGTGGAAGAGTGTATTAAGAGTGATGGAGCAGGCTCTGTACCTATTGGGTTCTTGGAGGCATGGAAGCTACCAGGGGTTGCCCAATTCGCACTCTGTCTGTTCTTCTCAAAGCTTGTGGCTTACACATTTCTGTATTGGCTGCCCTTCTACATAAGGCATACACCAGTTGCTGGAGTGCACTTGTCACACAAAAATGCAGGAATCATTTCATCAGTATTTGACATTGGAGGGGTGATTGGAGGGATCTTGGCGGGAGTTATTTCCGATTTTCTTGAAGCCCGGGCGATGACATCAGCTGTGTTCTTGCTGATGTCGATTCCGGCTCTGGTTCTGTATCGCATTTATGGGAGCACATCCATGTTCACTAATGTGGCATTGATGCTTGTTTCTGGTTCGCTCGTCAATGGGCCCTACGCTCTCATCACAACCGCAGTGGCAGCTGACCTGGGCAGCAGCACTCGGGCTGGGAACTCCCGTGCTTTGGCTACTGTGACTGCTATCATAGATGGGACTGGTTCTGTGGGAGCCGCACTGGGCCCACTCCTCGCGGGGTATATATCAACTAGAGGGTGGAACAGTGTCTTTTTCATGCTTATTCTCTCGTTATCTATTGCAGGGTTGTTATTGCTCCCTGTTGTGAGAAAAGACATTGAGGACAAGATGAAGGAGGGGAAATGGCTTTGGTTTACAAGGATTGTCATGCACTAATTCTTTATATATTAGCTGTGTCATGCCATGCCATGCTTTGCCTTTGGATACCCATAGTTTCTTTGTGTTTGGTTTCATCATATATCTCATAAAGCTCAATTCACAAAATGTATTGTAATTGGAGAATACACACACGAAAACGCCTTAACACAACTCCAGGTGACACTACATGGATGTTTTTTTTGTATTTTATGGGCATACAAACTCGTGCGATTCACGGGAATAAATTTTATCAAAATTTGAATTATTAATATTAAAACCGGTATGTCTTGAGTTCCGCTTAAGGGCATTGTTGCAATCTATTGTGTGGATAGAAGTAGCATCTGCTTGCTTTTGTTGAATCCTTTCCCAGTTGAGTGAGTGTGTGATTTTAGGAGGGTCAAGACCTCTTGGATACCTTTTATGCATGAATGAGGGCATAGAGAGTTATTGTTAGTGAAGCTCCACTAAGTTTGGTTTAAAAAATTTGATAGGAAAAAGAAAACAAATGAAGGTAAACAAATTTTTCTTGTTTGCTTAGAGTGAAAAAGAAAAGAAAAGTAGAAGGAATAGAAAATAAGAAGACAAAATGTACTTAGAGGACGGAAAGTAAAGTTCTTTCCATTTTTGTGATAAAAAATTCATTTTCTTTTCTTTTTTTCTTTATATCTCTTGAACCATTATTACTTATTATTTATTCTTATTGGAGTCGAAACAGATTAGATCATAAATAACTTTCAATATCACTATAATCATTTGTAGTTTGTATGGTGGTAACTTGGTTAGACCAATGCCTCCTTACTCTTTAGTCTTACAATTTACAAACTGATTCCCACCTGGCCCAAAATTTTGGCCCCACGAATGTTTCAAGGCATGGGCAGGGTGATCATCTAGTCTTGCTCCATTTACGGAAGGGGCCTCAAATTTTAATTCTGTTTTGTATAAACTTGACAAAACAGAACCGGAACAGATTACTCGAATCGAATTATCTGAAACCGAAACTAAAATGATTTGAAAAGTGAGGATCCGATCTATAAATAAAAACTCAAAATGATCCGAGTCGAGCCGAAACCGAACTAAATAATTTATATCCGATTTAAATTCAAAACCGATTTAGATCCAAAACCGATAATATCCGAACCGATTAAACTCGAAAGCGATTAGATCCGAAACCGATAATTTTCGAAACCGATAAAACCCGAAACCGAATAGATCCGAAACAGATTATATCCGAACCCGATTAGAACTAAATCCGATAAATTCGAAACACTATTTGCCTTCCAATAAGCATATTATATTTTTAAATTTTTACTTTTATTTTACCATTTGAACTAATTACATTAGTTGTTCATTCCCTCACAAAATGGATTGCCATCTTGAAAAAAGTTACAAAATATCATGCCTTAAAGTTATTATATTTAGAAATTGAAGATAAGTTATACATATAAAATATTGGATGAATAAAGTGAGCCAACTATTTTGTTATTAATAGAATTAAAGGAAATAAAATATTTGAAAAACAAGGTGAAACATCTATTGAAAAAAATTAGGCCTAAGAGTTGAAGATGAGTGGGAATTGAGAAATAGATTGAATAGTGGCGTAAGAAAACTAATACGGAGTAAGATTAAGGAGGGAAAGAAAAAAAGGAATGAGGGAAACTTTGAGCTTTAGAGGGGAAATTAGACATAAAAAAATGAAATCTTTGATTAGATATTATATGAAAAATACAGTACAAATTTTAGTTTTAATTTACAAAATCTAATTAAACTAATCTTATTTTGAAGAAAAAACTCCCTCCATCTCAGAAAAATGTTACATAACGCAAAACAAAGCAAAAATTTTAAGTTTTTTAAATTTATTTTATTTAAAGATTGATATATAAATAAAAAAAATGTTCACATATTTAAAAAAAAGTCCAAAGTTTTACAAAGTAAGATGTTACAAGAATTATAATTTATTTAATCAAATAATAAATGATAATGCACAAACAAATAAAATTTCCGTAATTTTTAAATAGTGAATTGTGATATTCTTTTTGGGACGAAAGGATTATATGATAACTTGTATGGAATAACTAGATTTTATCCTAATTTAATCCAATTACAATAAATTTTATTGGTTTGGGAGTTAATTAGATTAGTTTCAAACTAATTTTGCAAGTACCACGTGCATGCTTCATTCTTTGCCATTAATCTGCGATTAAAGTCTAATTTACATCCTAGCTCATTTTGTTTCCGGAGCGCGGTTCCACCTTTTTTGAAAAAACCATAGCTGAGTCACCATTTTACCCACTGACATCTCACCCGTGAGCTGTGTATTACGCCACGCATACATTCTCCCAAATTTCCGCAGAATTGCCATTCATTTCATCTTCCTCTCCGTCTCTCCCTCCAGGACCTGCTCTCTCCCCCCCAAGTTCCCAACAAGGCAGCGAACGCAGAAAAGGGAGGAGTTCTCGGGTCCGATGGGTTCCGGCGGCAGCCGTCTCGGCGCGCGTCCTCATCGGCCCGCTCGCAGCCGCACCGTCAAACGAGCCCTTTCCTCCCTTTTCATCTGCGGTGCTTCTTCTTCCCAGTTACCCCTTGATCATCAGGTATATATATTTATTTCTATCTATACGCTTTCATGTGTTTTCCCCTTCAGATTGTAAATTGAAATCGCGATCTTTGCTTTAGTTTCCCGTTTCATTCATTTGCTCAGACCGTTGACTGGTGGCTATGTTTTATTTTGCAAATGATATGAATTATGAGAATATGAGATGCGAGTTTTTTAATCAATTAGCGGCCTGATTCCGGAAATTCCAGATGATACATGGCATAACTATTCACCTTATGGATCCGAGCATATATAGCTGATTGTGAAAACCATGTGGATATATTAGGTTGCATAAAATATGTTATTGCAACTCACTGTAGGGTGATGACTGATGATTGAATAATCATTCAAGTGCTCATTTTATGTACGGCCTGGGAAAATTGTGTTTAGAATTGTTTCCAGTAAATGGGCTAGAAAACACCACATACTTAATTTTGTTGCTTATATGTTTCTACCATACATTGTGGTGAAGGAGATTGTAAGCACCTGAGAACTTGTATAGTAAAGTGCCTGGTGTCATTTGTTGTGCTTTTAAATGGGCTTGGTCTTGAATATAACACGCGAGGCTATTTCATTGGACCCCAAGCAGCAGCATCATGCATGTTGTTTCTCTTAGCATTTGGTGAGGTATACTTGATAACCTGATGGCTCATGTTCTTCCTCCTGTGTTTGGTTGCACATTCAGTCAAGCTTGATTTAAAAAGCATTGTTTTTAAACTACTGTTAGATTCTACTCTGTACTAAAATGATCTATATAATGAGAGGAGTTGTTCAAAATTGGAACCGAAACATCTGTCTTCCATTGTGAGTTTGTGGCCTCTCATTATTGTGTTTAATTTGTTTATCATCTGTGTTTCATTCAATGAATCTAGTTGTAACCAAGGGCTGTTGACGTTTTTTAAAATAAAAGTGGCTGTTCACAAGTGCTTATTTGTATTCGATAGATCCATGCTTGATTTTGTTTCTTGAAACATTATGAAAAGAGACTTATTTTCTTTCCTGTTATGTAATTGTTTTTTTCTTCTTTTACTTCTTGCACTCTAATTTCTTTTGTTTTTTTTTGCTGCATTTTGCTGGCTTACATGAGAGAGAGAGAGAAAGTTAAAGGGTTGTGTGTGTGTGCATGCGCGTGTAATACATTAAATTATCTTTTCTGCAGATAGGTGATCATTCAGCTAAGTTACTGGTTAGTTCTGGAAAACAGATTAGGACGAACACAGTTACAACCCCTAGGAAGGATACCATTGCTGGGTTAACTTGCTCTAAGATTGAAATTGGAGTTTCATCTAGTGGCACTGTGGTTGAAGATGGTCAGAGTAACGTACCTGAAGATATTCCAAGCAATTCTAATGGCAGTTATGCAGGGAAAAGTTTTATTGAGAATGACTATGAGAATAAGGACGTAGTAGCTCCCAGTAGAATTGGTGGTCATAGTTGTCATTCTACACAAGACGACCAACCTTTTCCAACCTCTCCATGTAGAACGGAAAGTATGGATGACTCTGAAATAGATAGTACAATGGACGACGAAGGGTCGCCCGTTTTTGCTGTGTCTACCCAATTTACCAGTCCATCCCCTGGAATTTTAGATTCTCCATCAACTGAAGATTTACTTGGAGATCATGCAGATGAACTTACCATGTTTAGTGATTGTGATTCTGCCACTGTATCTGTCATAATGGATTCTCCAGTTACCTCTAATTCTTCCAGAGATGACCTTTTTCTGCAGACAGCTCCGTCGTGTCCAGAGTTGCTGGTATCAGAGAGGGAACGGCACTGGAGGCATCGAAGTATGCTTCATGTTGATTCTGAGAACCTTTCTTCAAGCAGTTCTATTGAGAGAAGAGTTCATGAATCAAGGCTCAACGATAGAAGACTATTTTGGGATGCATTTTCCAGGAGGAGCCCAGGCAGTTTTGCTGATTCAAGGAACTATGTATTTTCAAATGATGATTTAGATGATCTAGGGTCTCAAGAGATCTGGCCTCGTGACCTTGGTGGGGGCTCTTTTAGTAATAGGGTTGGAGTGAATTACAGGTCTCACCAGAGTCAAACTCAATCTCGTGGTTACAACGATGAACATCATTTAAGATCAGAGGTGACCTTTAACAAATTGTAGCTACATTTTTTTTCTATTACTCATTGTCTTATTGAGGGGAGCTACACGACTGACCTTTTAAGTTCTTACTACCTGTGCTTTACAGATTCTAGAAAGACTCGGTGAAACTATTGCTAGTGATCACACAACCTCGAATTGTCCAGCAGGTATTCACCTTAATGGCACATGTATGTGTGAGTCAATCTTGATGGCTAATGAGTCGGGATCCAGAGCAAGTATTTCACGTATCGTCATGCTTGCTGAAGCATTATTTGAGGTAATCCTTGTTGATTGAATGGATCTTTCTTCTCCAATTGTGAACTGTACAATCATATGCATGAATTTTCCCTTGCATCTGATTTTTTTGGACCATTATTTTGCCTTGGAATATTCTCCAAGGTTTAAAGCTTGACTCTTTTTCTGTGGAAAATTGTGGTGTGGTGCTTATGCAGATATTTGGAGTATTGTTTGGTTTATGTCAAGATGCACCCTTAAGTTTTCTAAATACACCCCAATTGCTCAACATATGCATTCCGAAATGTGGGCATCTTTAGTACATTTTGAGGTGCATTCACTCCATTCAGCATTTCAGCCTCACAGTATGTTTTTGTTTTAGTGTATGGAATATTTTGGCCTCTACCATGCATGTCAGAAAATTGAATTTAAGGAAAGAAAAATGACTCATTTTTGTTCTTGAAGCAATAAGCTGCTAAGCTATTGGCTATTGCTTCTAAGTTATGTGTTAGAAAACAATAATGTATTTCCAAATTCCAAACGAAATGGTTCTTCACACAAAGAGCTAAGCTATAATACGTTCTGGATTACAAGTTATAAAACTGAGAAAGCTTCGCCAATGTTGTGGATCAAGGGCATTCCATTCTAAAATCAAAGAACTTTGTTTGACAAACACATTGAAATGAATGCAATCATCTCCCTATTTTTTTAAAAGTATACTTGTTATTAACAACAAACAATTTAGAGTGTGTAGGAAAGAACATAGAACAGGCTTCCATATTACAATAGGCAAAGAAAGCAAATCTATTAGGGCTAAGGCCGCTTAGCTAGCAACAAAGACGGGAACACGTGGAACCATTCTAAAAGAGTAAGAACAACCTAAATACAAACATGGATCATCCCGTAGAAGAGGGCACACCATAACATCCAACACCGAAGAATAAGAAATGAAAGTGGTGGTGGTATGCCGAGACAAGGAGCTACAACAGTGATGTTCTTAAGGTACTTCAAAAAGTGAACATCCTGGCATCCTAAGCAAACGAAGCATACGAAGCATGAGTCAGCATAAGAGGTGCAAGTAGTGCCGGATATGACAAAATGATGCCGAAGATAAGTGTGTGAGGAGATGGATAACAATCATAACATCTTACGAAACAGCTGGCAGCCTGGCTCGCGCCCACCTAAAAGATGATAGTAACTGAAGTACAACTATGGGCCAGTGGCCAGACGTCAGGCAATTGACCACTAGCGGAGTGTGGGTTCCATAATCCCCAAATGTTGTCCTTAACATGTACCAAATGAGTGCACTTATGAGAAACCATTAATCACACATACGGATGCATATTATCTGCAGGCACGGTAGTTCTAGACTGATAAGAACATGATGCAAACAGAGCCGTTTTGAGCAAATGTACACTGGGGATTTTTGGCCTTTACCAGAGCCATCCTTTTGAGCTAGGACACCAATTAACTGCTGCATCACGAGAACCAAATAACCACACATGCTGGCACTAACATACCAAAAAACTGTGAGTGCATACCTGTGCTGCTGTGCCTGTTAACCACATACATGATCATTAAGGCATCCTGAGTAGAACATGATGCAAAGAGAGCCTTTTTTAGTGAATGGGCAGTTACGCAGACATGGCCTTCATTGGGAACCATCCCCGGGCTTAGGTACCACTTAACCACTGATAACAAACGAACTCATAACCTTTTCAAAACCTACAGCAGCCATCACTTCCAAACGAACTACTCTGTAATAACCTTTGCAGAATTGCAGCTCCTATATTTTTCAATAACTATTTTTTTCTTAGTTAGCAGCCTTTACAAAATGGAAGTGAGTTAAAGCATCTACCTAAATTATGGTTGTTGCTTCTATCTTAAATGCTATACATGCAGTGTGAAATTTCTAATCCACGTGTTCTAATTGATAATCAACATGTAGTTTCAGCATTCATGCTCCTGTTCTGATAATTCTCAATTTTCTCTGAGATTATTGAATTAAAAATGTTCATGTGAAAATACAAGGAAGTACCAGGGATATATGAAGCATTTATTGGGCATGTATCCAGTTCATGGTGTGTATTTTATGCATACATATGCCAGGTGGAGGCCGTGGAGCCCATTTATGGGATTTTACCGGGTTGCTTGTTGTTGTTGTTGCTGTATATGCTAGGTGGAAATGATTAATTTTTCAAGAAACTTTACACTATATGTATCAGGACTAAACAAACCCTACCCCTGCAAACCTCTTCTTCTTGCTGAGTTTGTGTGGGACTGTGGGTGGGGTTGGAGATAGCATTAAGACCTAATTAAGTACCTGCAGTGGAACTTCTCTATGATTTAAATATTCAATCTCCTTTGGGTCTATCCAGCTGTATTTTGTGTGTAGCAAGGTCACACAGATTTTTTGTACTGTAGATTAAAAATAATAAACTTTCAAGCTGCATCAGACACTAAATGTTCAGCAATTCATATAGATTTAGTGAATTAATTGTAGAGAATAGCAGCCATTTTTTGAACAATGTGTGAGGCATCATGGATTCATGGTAAATGGAAAGGCCAAAAACTAAAACGTTATGCCAGTAAACACATTTTTCTATTTCATTTTCTTCATTTTGTTTATCTCTTCTATCCCTCTTGGTTCTCACTTTCATGTTAATATCATACAAACTACAATTTGAGCTCAAGCATTGCTGTAAAAGTTTCCACCTTAACCCAATTAATCCCCACTTAGGGGTGCCTCATCCCTATAAAAAATGATACATGCAGATAACCGAGTTTGATTCAAGCTTTTAAAATTTAAGTTTTATTTAAGGTTTGTTAATTTTAGCAAATATGATTTACTTCCTGAGCATTTGTCTAGTATTCATTTGTGGATCGTCTCAATCTATTTGTCCACTTTCCATTCAAGGAGAAGAAAAGAAGAAGCTTTGACTTATTTGCCCCCACTTTATACTTCGACTCCTCACTCAAAAAGTAAAAATAGGGGCATAATGATCACTTGATCCTTTTTCCCCTTTCTCCTTGGTTCATGTGCCCTGATGAATATGGACAAATGTACTGGGATGAAGGGAACATCTTTAGAAGCAACGGAAAGTTAAAGCAAAATTCTAATTTGGAAATTGTGCGCTATTATTAAAGACAATTATACTCCGGTAATAAAATAGTATGTTTTACAAATAATTTGGATGTGTAACATAGAGAATGGGACTTAGTGAATGTTATATTCCATGAGCTTTGCTCAGCTGTCAGCACCCAACAATATTGTACATGTTCTGCAGGTACTGGATGAAATACATCAGCAACCGATGACCCTCCCTTTATCTATGCCTTCACTTCCAGCACCGGAATCAACTGTTGATTCTTTGCCCATAAAGAATCATATAAAGAAGGATGGACCTTCTGATGGAAATGATGTAACGAAGTGGGTTTTTCTATTCCTCTAACTATTACTCCCTCTGACCCACTATCTTTAGGACATTAGGATGTGACATGCATGTTTAGGAAAAGTAGAATTGTATGATGATATTGAATATGTAAAATATGGAAGAAGAAAGTATGGTTTTGAACAACACAAATATGACAACTATGTAATTTGACAAACAAAATGATATAAAGAGACAAAGATCGTGGGACGGTGGGAGTACTATATTTTACATAACTGCATGTTTTCTGTTTGCTTTGCTCTGTTCCTCAGGAGTGAACTGAACAGAGTATTTCTTTTAGTCTTGTTACTTTCTTGTTTCTTCCTGTTCTTGTGTTGATTGAGTTTGATGTTTGCTCCTTTGCTCTGGGAGCATTTTATGATTCCAGTTTATCCCTTATGCCATTTTCAATCTCTATCTCTTTCCTTCTCCCTTGTTTTTGTTTCGTAATGAAAATAGGATAATTGCATTTTTTTCCTTCACCACAGACACATCACACACACACACACACAACCCAAGGATTACAATACCGGTACTTTGAACTTATGAATACTTGGTGTATATTTCAGTATGGATAACTGATTTTGTTTTGAAAAAACAACTTTTTGTAAGTATTTTTTCTGGAAAATGTAATGAGATTATTGAAATTTTTTTATATTTTTTATACTTAATATTTCTCCGTTCTATTTGTTTATTTACTTGTTGGTTTTGTTCTTACCGGGTTCTTTTGTGTTTTGATCTTGGGGTCTGTGTACATCACACTCCCAGACCCCACTTTGTGAGATTTTACTGGATATGTTGTTATTCTAGGTATTTCTCCAAACTTATCAATATTACTTTCTGAAGTTCCTTTGAGATTCTAGATAAATTTCATTACACCTGTTTCGATTTCGGAGACTTCAATCAAAATAAGGAAATTCAATCAAAATAAGGAAATTTTGATGCACTTTTCAAAAACAGTGGGACTCACGACTCTATTTTCCATGTAGCTGCTACATATGTTTGGCCGAGTACGAGGAAGGAGATAAGATACGAGTGCTACCATGTCACCACGAGTTTCACATGTTGTGCGTTGATAAATGGCTAAAAGAGATCCACGGGTAAACTCCCTTTTGCATCTATGTCTGCATCCAGCTGTTTGTCTTCTCTTAAGTTCCCATGCACGAACGTTTCGTTCATATATTTTTACTTTTGCTGCAGCGTGTGCCCACTTTGTCGTGGAGATGTTCAACAAGGTTTTGTGTAAGATGTTGCTGTAATAAACTCAGATATCTTTTCCCTCTAAGCTTTAATGCTTATCGGGCACGGAAGCATATGGAAATTATGGTTCCATTTAGGTGGTATTGTCACCATAGTGAGCGAAATATATCTTTGCCTCTTCTTGTCATGAGGACACAAGATGATGTAATTTTTGGATTAAAATCAAAGTTTTGTGCTTGTCAAAAAAAAAAAAACCTTGTACATAACAAATGTATGTAGGTCGGTTGCAGATATGAGATCTCTTAGCTAGAGTTAGAAGAAGACACACACTATTAGCCTCAATAGAGAGAGCATGTGCACCTTCTCTTTTATATCTGGTATCATTGTAAAAATGATCTTGTAACAAAAACATGAGTAATAGCTTATAGTGATATGCTGCAGCTCTATGTTCCCATTTTTATCTGTTCGTTATGATGCACATTAAATACTACTCCCTCCGTTCCATGTATAAACTGTCTATTTATTATTCACAAAGTCAAATTTTATTCACTTTCTTAATTATTTTCTTAAATATTTGTAACTATTTCCCATATTCCCATTTTTCATCTGTGGGTGGCTTTTAATGTGGGCAGTTATTTGTTAATGTATTTGACTTTCAAGTGAAGCAAGATCCCAAGGCTGCACTTTGGTTGTTTGGCCTGCTTTTGCAATGCCTAAACGATGTGTAGGGCTAGCCTTCCAAGTTGGACCAAAAGACATCCCTTGGTACAACGAAATATCCCTGACCGAACCGCAACATTTAGATTTTCAGACTCGCTTGTCTAAGAAAAGGAGAAGAACGGATTTGTAATGTTCCCCGATTCCCATTTTTCCCTCATTAATATGTTTTGTATGTATTCAAAACAGCTTATATATTCAATACAGAAAAAAGAAGAGGGGGCCAGAAAAGGGTTCTGGTTTGTTCATGGGGGGGACATTACATTTGATGGAGCTTATTATAACACATCAAAGAAGGGGTTATACTTGAACCCTCCTTTATCAGTGCCACTGCTGCTGCTGCTAGTATACATCATGCCATCACTCCTGTATTTCTCTTGCCTATGAGGAGGAGTACTACCAAACATATTTGGGTGACAATTCTCTTCATTTTCGTCATCCTCTTGAAAGGTTTCCCATTTCTTGGAGTCGCTTTCGTGCTTCTCTTTTTGCGCATACGCTCCCATCTCTGCTGCATGCTTCTCGATTTCCCTACTCACCACCCCCAAGATTTCATCCCCATACCGATCGCACCACTCCCTGAAAATCATCCACGGAGTACACGGTAAAGAATACGTTACAGTAAAAACGGTTATCATTCTTATAAGATTGCTACTACAGTACTACTGCGAGATTGTAAAAAAAAAAAAGTAATAATAATTCTTACTTGGGGAAGAACATTTTCAGGTCAGCTTTGTCAACTGGGAGCGTCGTTGAAATTGCTTCGATTTGATCATCCCTGAAAGTTAATTGTGCATCACACTAGAGATTAATTTAAAAAGAACACTCCCTCCTGAATGATCACAACGAGAAATGGATTCCAGCTTCTTACGTGAATTGAACACAAGGATTCTTTTCACTCAGTTTTGTCTGGATCCGCGACAATTCCTTCTTTATATTCTCCCCCAAAACCTGCAGCAGATTCTTTCATCAATATATAGGCGATAATATAGCAACACCATAGAATAAAACTTGTGACTGTATGTGTCTTATTGTTAATAGAATGGGACAGACCTTATTGACAAAGAAATCAGGAGTGGCTTTCTTCTTGATTGGCTTCCTATCTGGTTTCTCAGCCATTGACAAGGGAACCGTTTCATCCTCCGATGGATCTGTTTTCTTCCACTTCTTGAAACCATCAAACCCCCCCACCCATTGTTTCTTCTTTGCTGCTTTCTCGGCCTTCTTCTTAATCTTCTTCACACAGGGCACTTGGGCAGAGGAGCTGTCTTCCATAAGAATCGACTTTGTTTCGCTCCAAAATGGATTTTCCATAGAGTGGGAAAGAGGGTTGGGATCATTTGTTTCTTCCTTCTTCATCATCTTTTCACCTCTAACTTGCTTCTTATTAGGGGTTGTCAAGTCTATAACAGACCACTCCTCATCTGGAATACTGTCTTTCTTTGATCCCAAAATCACATTTCTTGCCTCAATCTCACCCCCTTGAACTGCTAGCCTTTGCAGCAGAGGCCTCTTTGACCAATGATACTCCTCCTCCGATATGCATTTCGCATATAACAGCTCCTGCAATTGAATTTCATGTTAGAATACAAAACTTTAAGAAATCACACAAACTAGGGGTAATCATTCTCATCCCCCCTGGGAGTAGAAAAAAAATGAAGGAATATAATGTTGACTGACCTGTAAGAAGATGAGCTTGTCTCTTAAAATGGAGGAGTGCTCAAGATCAGGAGGAGAAGCTGTGAGGGTGTGGAGGAGGTGTGAGCGGAAAGAGGAGACCTCAGACTCTGCCAGAATTCCCTCCCTGCTTAGCCCCATCAGGTTCAGGATTTGGTGGAAGGAGTCCTGCTGCCATTTGAGGTTGTCCGACTGCTGCTTGGACAGCAGCTGCTCGGCCGCCGCGATCGCCGGAAGCCGCCTCTTCTTGAAGGAGGAGAAAGGCTGGAGGAGGTTCTTGCATAAGGAGGCGATGGATTCGTGGATGGTGGTGCCGTAGTAGTATGATGATGATGATGAGGACACCATTCTGCTAATTAATCAATGAATCTTTGTTTTTTTTTTTGTTCTTGGGATTTTCTGCTTTGGTTCAATTATGTGAAAGGAGAAAGAAAGTGTTCTCTTCTTATCTGTCTGAAAATGGAAGGCTCCGTTTATTGTAGTGTGGACTGTAAAAGGTGTGTAAACGGTCGGATGGGAACTAGCCGTTGGGGTTTTAAACGTTGCCACCATGAGGCGACCAAAAACTACGTCGTTTCCTTCTAGACAATATTGTGTTCCCAAATTATTTTTAGAGTAAATTCCATAATTGGTCTTAAATATGGCATTTAGAAACCATCTCTGCTACAATGCTTGCTGATAACTCTCTACTATTCATTTTTAATATTCTTTATTCAAAATTTTTTGAATAAATTCTATAACTGGTCCTTTATAACAGGAGGTTTCCATATTTAGTCCTCTATTATCAAATATTACCACAATGGTCCTTTTTTATGGTTATCTTTTCACAAATAATCCTTTTTTGATATTCTATCATGTTAGTGTTAAATTGAAGGCTAAGGGGGCGTTTGGTTCATGCTGAGGAAAGGAAAAGGAAACAGGAAAGGGAATCAGGGGGAATGAGAATGATTATCCCTGATTTACCTTGTCTGTTTGGTTCAGTATAGGAAAGGGAATAGAAACGGAAGGGGTGAGTCGCACGCAGGGATGAGGATTTACGGAAGGGTTGGGGAAGGGAATAGGAATCAGAAACCTGGGTATGTAGCAGGGAATGTGATAGACCCAAATTAGGTATTAGAAAACCTAAAAGTGGGGAATGGGAATGATTGTTTTTTTTAAACAAACAACAACAAAGGGAATCAGGGAATTCCATTCCGTTTCCTGATTCCCTTACCCCCTAACCAAACGCCCCCTAAAAGTATAATTTCACAATGATAATATATCTTTTTTGTCCTTTCAATCTTTTTTTGTCATACATAATTCCAAAAGTTGTTCTGCTTGCGTCGTTTTTTATTACAATCGCTTTCTACTACAACCATAGTCTACAAATATGGTCTTTTGTCAGAATCATATCACACAATCATAACCCGGGGTTATTATTTTTATGTTGTCCACTTAACCAATATCAGAACACGTTACTAGACATAATGTGAATGTCAAATTATATTTTTAGCCTTTAAATTAACACCAACACGGTAGAAGATAAAAAAGACCATTTGTGGTACCTTTAAAAAAAGGACTACGGAGGTAATATTTGATAATAGAGAACTAAATATGGAAACCCCCATGTTATAAAAGATTAATTACGCAATTTACTCTTATTATCAAATTCTTTTCAAGTATATATATATATATATATAGGGATAAAAATTACTGGATAAAAATTACTGGACATTCTTCCCACCACTAAACATTATTCAAATACTATTTAGGGATAAAAAATCCCGCCAGTATACATAATTAGTTACTCCGTATTACGGAGTATATATCTAAAAAAAGATTATATAAACTTTATTAATATTTTTAAAAAGAGAGCTTTGGCTTCTAATAAACTATTCATTATTTTCCCTTTTATTATATCTCAAAATAAAGATTTATATAAAAGTTATTAATAGATGTACATGAATATTAAAACTAAAACTTTTTACTCAAAGGAGAAATTTTATAGGTAGAAATTATTTATCAAGCACATCATATATCATTATTAAAGAATTTAAAATAAATGATATTTTATTTTTTACATGTCAAAATTTTGAATATATGTGAGCTAGTTTTCTTTTTTTTAGATGTGTTTTTTTCGAGAATTGGCATTTGGCCAGCCGCCACCAATCATTGAAGAAGATCCAAACAAGTATGTGTTTTTTTTCCGATTCTTGCTTAGTGGACATTGAACGAGGGCCGGCCCAATAGGGGGACAAATAGCCCGTCCGGACCGGGCCCATGAATTTAAAGGACCCAATTTGTTTTTTTTATTTAAATTTTTTATATATGAGCCCATAGCCTAATATGTCAAGCATCCTTCTTACTCGTACACAAAGAAGAGATACGCAGGTAGAGAGCGGTCGACTGAACAAATTCGCCAAATTGGAAAACTGCTGGTAGAGAGACGCCGCCGCCGCCTCCAGAGTCCAGACGCCACCGGGAGCCGACCCTCCAGCCTCCAGGTATTCCGTATTCATAGCTTTCCAATTTTGTAACTTTTTTCTTTCATTATTTCATTCTTTAGATTAAAAATCTAGGGTTAATTATTGAATTTTAATTTGAAATCTTTGCTAATTGCTATGAAATAGAATGAATTAATGGTTCTATATGTTCTTTATTTTATTTGGATGAATTAATTTGAATTTATGATATATTTATAATTTTATTTATAAAAAACTGGAAACTGAAAAAAATTAAAAACTGAAAAATTGATATGAATTTATGATATATAAAAAAATTAAAACTGAAAAAAATTTGATGAATTGATATGAATTTATGATATATTAATTTACTTTTTTCTTCTAATAATATTGCGTTAATTATCATTTGTGTTCAGTAAGGAACACAATTTATGATAAATATATGTTCATACAGTAAGGAACACAATTTATGAGAATTGATTGGGACCATTTTTATCACCTCACATTTTTTTCTTCTCTTAACATTCTTTCATTGGTTGAACTAGAATTGAAGTTATGCTGTAATTTTTATGCATTTTCATATATACTCTTTTTTAAATTACTTTCATAGCATTATTTGAATAAATGAATCTTTTGAAAGATGTAATGCAATAAAAAATTTGTTTTTATGATGTTTTATAAGCTCATCCAAAGCATAACAACAAATTACGTTATGGAACATTCCATGATTACGAGGACTTAGAAATCATAATTGGTCATGGTGTAGCTGTTGGAAAAAACTCAATTGGGTTAGGTAGTACATATGATGCAAGAACATTAGGTGCAGGAGAAGGGGGAGATGTGCATATAGATGACCATGATTATGACTTGGAAAATGATGCATTTATAAACCAACCTCAAAGTGACCCAACTTTTCCATCCACATCACCGCTGCTATCTTCTAAAAGTCACGACGTTCCCATACAAAAAACAACCCAAACCAAAAGAAATAGAATTACATATGAAGAAAGTGGTGTCATAGAAAGGCTAGATGAAAATATCTAGAAGTTTTAAAGGAATCTATAACCTGCTAGAGAAAAGAGAAAGAGAAAGAGAATATACAATTTCGGATGCCGTCAAGGATACCCCGGGATTAGATGAGGATACCATGTTTAAGGTGGTTGAGTTGCTTGATAACAAGGGAAAAAACAATGTTTCTCTTGAAGATTGTCACCTGGAGAACGGTTAAGTTGGATACACCACAAGATGTGAGGGTAAAATGAGAAGATATATTGGGATGAATGAAAGGATTATGTGACTTTATTTTAAATATGTTATGTGACTTTATCTTCGCGGAGAGTTTACAGTATTCATGGTTTATTAATCTGTTTTAAAGTACTTGTGGTTTATTAAGTTGTTTTAAAATATATTGGAAAAATTGATATAAATACTCCTAGAAATCCGAAATTTTACAATAATACTCCCAAATTTAATAAAAGACTCTGGTGCTCCCATTTAAACTATAAGTTTACATTACTACTCTCATTATGCCTAATCAGCTTTTCTTACGCTTACATGTAAGTAATTAACTAATTATGCTTAGTTGACATCTTAATTGTTTTTTTTGTTTTAATAAGAGGAAAAAATTATATAAATAGTTCTTGAAATTCAAAATTTTACAATAATACTTTCAAAACCAAATAAAGACTCCAGTACTCTAAAAAATATCTTCCTTTTACGTGTTACGATGTTTCATAAAAGTGGTGTGAAATCAAAAAATAAAATTATATATCTAAAAACTACATCATAAGATCTACTACGTATATAATTAAAATAGGTAAGCGAAGTAAATAAAATTTGATCTTGTTAATACTCTTAATAGTGAATCAGAAGATAATTTTTGGATGGAGGAGGTATTTTGTATTAAAATATAAAAAATAACTAAGATGCCAATTAAGCTCAATTATTTAGTCTTTAATATTACTAAAAAAATTATTTTTACATATTACTATATTAGTTTTTTAATATGTATTTTTTATTTTTTTAATTTCACACCATTTTTCATATAAAATATTTTAAAAATAATTTCAGTTAAATATCGTAACGTGCAACGAGAATACTTTTGGGAGAACTAGAGTCTTTATTTGATTTTGGGAGTATTATTGTAAAATTTTGAATTTCTATGAGTATCTATAAAAATTTTTCCCTTTATGAAAACAAAAAAACAACTAAGATGCCAACTTAGCTTAATTAATTACATGTAAGCGTAGGATAAGCTGATTAGGCTTAATGGGAGTAGTGACGTAAACCTATAATTTAATTGGGAGCACTAGAGTCTTTAATTAATTTTGGGAGTATTATTGTAAAATTTTAAATTTCTGGGAGTATTTATATCAATTTTTCCAAATATATTTGGTTTAGTATCTTCTTATGGTATATATAAACTCGTATTGTAGTTTTGCATTATGTTTTTATGGTACGTACTCATATTCTGATTTGCTTGTGAAATATTGTTTGTTCTTATAAAATAGATAATAGAAATTGTGCTTTTTTATCGGTAATAAATAAATTGAAAAAATGATAGGGGAGAGACTCAAGAGAGCTATATTATTTAATAATTTTATTCTTTAATTTTCTTTGAATTTTGAGTAATGTCTTCTATCTTTTGTGTTGTCTTTAATTTTTTATTAGTAAAATTTGATATACATGAAAAAAAGAGTATTTATTATGAATAATAATAATAATGTTTAAAAAATAATTCATTTTTATTTTATTGTATTATTTTTTGAGTTTTTGATCAATTTTATAAATATAATTAATGTAGAGTAATGTATGAATTTTTAAAATAATTCAGATACATATATATAAATAATCCATGAATTATAAATAATCTACTAAAATCCTTTAAAATCGTGTTGAAAAAATACTATAAAATCCATATAACTCTGCGTAAACTTAAAACAATCCATTGATTTTACATAATCCAGAGATTTTAAACAATCTATCATAATCTTATAAAATCTTAATTGAATACACCCCCTAAGACTTCTTTGAGAGTCCCTTCGTTTTTTGCTTGCTAATATCGGATAAGAAACCTTTTGGTTTAGGCAATGTGGTGTAGCCTTCTTTTTGCCGCCGGGGCATTGTGACTAAATATGTTAAGGTGTGCCTCTTTGCACAATTTTGAACATTCTTGGGAGCAACAAAATTGCTACAGCTATGGATTTAGTTAATCTTTTCATTCTTTTGCATTACTATGTAATGTGTACAATTCCTACTTCCCACTCTACATCCTTACAATTTGGACTAAAAATTATTGCTAACTATAAAAAACTCAAAATATTCTAGCGAAAAAAAGAACAACTTGAGACTGTTAAGCCAATGCTCCACTTGGCTTTGCCCTTTGGTGGTACAGTAGGTAGAACAAACTGCATTACTTTTTGCTAAATATAGACAGTTTTTTTGTTAATGCTATCAACATTGGTGCCTTAGTTTTTAGTTATTTAAATGTATTAATGTTTTTTTTAAGAACATGTGCAGTTTCTATTACCTGGAAATTTAGAAGTATTCACTTATTCATTCCTTCTCACTCAAACAAATTCTTAGTTTACTAGTGGATCAAAGCTAGGGGTGGTGAAGACGATGAGGAGAAGTGAAGAGATCCAATTCACCAAAAAACTTTACACTGAGGACGTGGGCCCCCGTAAAATGTATGCTTTCATTTTTTCCCAATTTGAAGTGTGATAATGTGTTTTTTGGTTTTTGGTGGATATCTTTTTGTTTAGTTAATTCATACATTTTCCACAATTTTATTTCCATCCCACAGAAAAAGCATTCAATTTTCAACTTTCTCTGGTCCTGAAATTTTGAAATCAGCAGCAGTTCAAGTCTATCGTGGAGTTTACTATGATCCCACCCAGAAAGCAATTCCCAATGGCCTGTTAGATCCCCACATGGTAATTCTTGATTTTGTGATGTTTTGGTTGCATTCTTTTTCTAACCCCTAGAAGACTTGGAAGTATTATTGGTTTGTACATACAATAAAGCATTTTTTGATGCACAGTAGGTCAGTAGCTAATGAAGCCACTTAACTTAGCATACATATCTTATAAAAATCTGAAGCTTTTTAGTTTTTACATATTGAAGCCAATCATTTTTGCATTTGTAATTTGTGAAGTAATGTAACTTGCTAGACTAAGTTGTTGTATATTTGAATCTTTTGTTTAATTCTCAGCCCCATTTTTTATCTTCTGTTAACCCAAGATAATTTTTCTTTTCCTGATTCATTGTATTGGCGAGAAATGTGGTTGGTAAATGTTAAGGACTTTTAAGATGGTCGGCTGTTTATTTAGAGCCAAATTCTGTAACTTGATTGTTTCCATTTTGTTTTACACGTACTTTTTACTTTTCAACAACTTTCCTGAACTCTATGAAGTCAAACATGGTAATTCATTTGGGGATGGAGGGAGTACTTAGTCTTATACATGACATTTAAAACAATGTACGCATGCAATTTAGTTCCCATTTTGAACACTATACATATGTATGCTATAAACTTTTTCTATTGACCTTCCAATTTTGCCCCTGCTTTAGAATTTTTTGATGTATTCTTCCACCTAAAAGTCAATTTGTAATTGTGGGGGAGAGGGAGCATGTAGGGAGGCACTTCAAGACTGAATAAGCTTGTAGTGCTAATAGTTGACAAAGATGAAGAGTGCTGGTTCGAGTACACATTTTAATCTTTAATGTCAGAATGTTTGGTCTCGAGTTTTGTTGACAATTGACATGTCTTTTGATTGTTTACAGCAAAATGATTGGAGATGTGATATCATGTAACCTTCCTTATTCTCTAATCCGTTTGATATGTATGCCCATATCAATGTGCATTCCCATCATTCTGTTAGGGAAGTCTAGAGAATCACCTATTGTAATTGCATTATACGATCATGTATAGGTAACTTATAAACATTTTGGTTTTAGGGGCCTCCAAACAAGAACAAATCATGTGCAACATGCAATGGAGAATTCCTACAGTGTCCTGGTCACTATGGATACTTAAAACTTGCTCTACCAGTTTATAATGTTGGATATCTGGACAACATTGTGACCATTTTGAAATGCATATGCAAGGTACGTACAAGCTTTTGCATCCTTAGATTGCTGTTATTATGCATCTTTTCCAGTGGATGGGTTCCTTTGAATGACATGCCCGAAATTAAATATGCATTGTTTGATGTAGGCAATTATTCTTAAAATCCTACTAGTTACTCTACAAATGTTAACATGTTCTGCCATTATGGGTTAAGTGGGTTCAATTGCTGGATAGGTAGTTACATTGCTCTTCGTCATGAGCATTATGGTATTTGTTTATATCATTGTGATGATGTAAAGCAATAGATTATAGATTGCACAACATTTTGACCTTCTCACATCAGGATGTAGTTCTATTAGAATTCCTTCGTGTTACTGTATTTAGGAATATAACTCAATAAATCACGATCCATAATTTGTCTGGAAGGGTATTGAACTACTAGGGTTGCAACTTGCATGTTGTAGGGTGAGGGCTGGGTTATAGAGCATCTATTCAAGACTAAATTCTCAAAATGGTTCTTTCGAGTATTTTTCCAAATCAGTCCTCATAAGCACTAATTAACCTACGTGGTACTTTTTTAAAAATGTCGGGTTAAGTGGAGGGTGTTTTGGTATTTTCCTTAATCTTAAGTTAGAGCAAGTTTTCAAAATGGTCTTTTCTAATTAGTGGTTTTCCAAATTAGACCTATAACGGTGTAATTATAATTTCATTCCATTTGTTCACTGTGGGACTCCCCAATGTCATGTGGCTCTCAAGGTTTATGTTGGTCAATTTTTGAATGGAGATGATCTCAGATTCTGCCCTCCACTTTAGGTCTGCGGAATTTTGATAAAGTTTGTGTATGAAATATATGTTAATCTTTTTTTTGGAAAGTAATTTTTTTGTTATATATATATATATATATATATATATATATATCTGTGTGTGTGTGTGTGTATGTATGTATAGATTTTGGTTCCGGTGAGAATATAATCTAATGAGAGAAATAAGAATGTTTTTACACCGTTAGATTAACTATTATTGCTGACTTCCAAACCATGGTTGTCAAGTCGACAAGTCGAGTCGAGTCGGTGACGGGGAGACTAGTGGACTAGGCGACTAGTCGTAGACTAGTCGGCAAATCATAATTAGTATTGAAATTTTTAACATTATATATATATCTACATTAACCCAACATGAATATATATATTTATATGTCAAATACCCAACGGATGGATCGTCTTCGTAGTCGCGGATATTATTATCTCCCATTTATTCTGAAATAATTATTAAATCAAATTGGTGAATATGACATTCTAGCAACTAAACAAAAACAAGAGCCTAGAACCCTTAAAATATTGTAAAATAAGAAATACAAAACCAAAATATTAATTGAATTCAGAAAAAAATTGAAAAATTAAACTGAAAATAAAATTGAAACACTAAAATACTAAAATAAGAAAAAAATTAAAATATTATCTGAAATCAGAAAAAAACTGAAATATTAAAAAAATAAAAAAAACTGAAAATTTTAAAGTATATTATACTTTATTGTTTATTGAATCAAATCGGTGAAAATTAAATTTTAATTTTTCAGTTTAAGATTTCTTTTATTTTTTTTTCTTATTCTAGTTTTCTAGTACAAAACCAAAAAAATTGAAATATTAAACTGAAAAAAACCTGAAATACTAAAATATTAGAATAAGAAAAAAATTAAAAGAAATCTTAAACAGAAAAATTAAAAGAAATACTTCAATGATAACGAAGTATAAGAAAATTTACCCATGGAGGAGAGTCGGCTGTGATGGACGCTGATGGAAGATAATCGACGATCGCTGGAGCCCTGGAAGTCGCAGAAGTCACGCAACTGGAAGACTACAGGCGCGAGTCTCGATTGTGGGTGGATTGCGTCGAAGGAGGCAGCGTTTTGTTAAAAAATTTTAAAAATTAATGAAATTTGGGTCGGGTCGGGTCGGATTGAGTCGGGTCGATTAAATTAGGTCAAATTCTGCTCCGATTAGGCGTAGCCTAGTCGCGGCTAAGCGTCGCCTAGCGCGCTTAATAGCCTAGTCGGCCATAGGCGCTAGTCGCACAACATTTGTCCATCTCCAAAACGACCGGACGACTAGTCGCCGACTAGTCGTGGCCTAGGCGACGACTTGACAACCATGTTCCAAACTAAATTGATACCTAATTAATGAGGGTAATTTAGTGAAATGGCCATTTTCATAAACTATAGCCACGATTCATGGTCTCTATTTTGGGGAGTACTCAGTTTCTTTGATTACGGTTACATTGTCAATTTCTTTATCAATTAATCCCACTTTTTATTTTCTCTATTTCTCTTGCACCAAAATAAGAGTTCAAGTCATTTTATTAATCCTCCCCTCCATTTTTTTCTTCCAAATTAGTACTAGGGCCTCTCAATATTTTAAGTTTGTTTGCATGCTTTTAGATAAGATAAAATAATAATGTCACATCTTGTTTTTTGTAACTTTTAATGTAATGTTGAAGGATGTAATTTGCACCTTTTAGTTTTATACAAACTTGGAAATGGCGTAATTTTCAAAAAGATTAGATTTTGCACGTTTTTCGAAATGGGAAGAAAAAAATGGACATATGGAGTATTTTTTTATCGTTTTGATTTTTATTCACTTTACTGTTTTTTCTCATATTTTTTAGTTATATTTGTGTGGTTCACAAATATAATAATTAGTGCACCTTTTATCATTTATGTTTTTACTATTTAACATCAACATAATAATTAGTGCACCGAGTAATAACAAATGTGCACCAAAAATAGTCTGATTTGCATTAGCATACTACTTCATAATATCAATATACTAATAATTTCAAAATTTAATTTAGATAGACGAGATTTCACACCAACAAATTCAGTAGAATTTTACCTCATTAGAACTGCAATTTAGTAAAAATTAAATTACTTTACATACAATTAAGCATTGCATTGAGTAATAACAAATGTGCACCGAAAATAGTCTGAGTTGCGTTATCACAAAATCAATTTATTACATTTCATAATACAAGAACAATTGAATAAGTCATTTAAAGCACCATTACTATCGCTCGTTGAGACCATTGAGTGCACCACGAATATATAAGTCTGGGTTGCATAATTAGACAAAAATAATTATATACTAAGGTTGTGTTTGGTTAGGGGTAAAATATTTTCCTTGAAGAATATTTTCCAAGGAAAATTATTTTCCAATCATATTTTTAGTTGTGTGGTAGGAAGGAGATTATTTTCTCAAAATATAATTTCTTTTATTACTCCATCTGTTTCTTAAAACAGTTTCTCTTTCACTTTTTTGTTTCTCCAAAACACTTCTATTTTTGTAAATTTAAAATCTAAAATATAAATTATAAAATTTAAAATATAAAATATAAAATTTGAAATTTAAAATTTTGAAGTTCAAGTTTCAAATTTAAAATTTAAAATTTAAAACTTAAAATTTTATATTTCAAATTTAAAATTTAAAATCTAAAATTAAAATTTTAAAATTAAAATTTTAAAATTAAAAGTTAAAAATTAAAAATTAAAGTTAAAAATTAAAAGTAAAAAACTAAAACTTAAAAAAATTTAAAATATAAATTTTCAAAATTTAAAATATAAACTTTTAAAATATAAATTTGAAATTTAAAATATAAAATCTAAAATTTAAAGTTTAAAAAGTAAGTTTTTAAAATTTAAAATTAAAATTGAATTTTAAATTTGGAATTTTAATTTTTAAATTTTTAAATATTAGTTTTAAACATTAAATTTTAAATTTTAAAGTTAAATTTTAAATTTCAAATTTTAAATATTAAAATTTAAAATTTAAATTTAAATTTTAAGTTTAAAAATGAAAAGTAAGACGGAGGTTGGGGGGCATGTGTCGGTGACGGAGCAGAAAGAAAATGATGTAGAAGCCTAAAAATTACTCCTTTATGGCTTTCCTTTCTAATTGACATTATTTTAGTCGTTTGCCAAATTCATATTTGCTGTAGGATGAATGAATTTAAGAGCCAGATTTTATTCTTACGGAGTATTTCTTTCATGGAAGCTCTTTCTCACATGAACTGCACCCTATATGTGTGTGTGTGTGTATATATATATATATCATGTAACTATAACTCTTCTTTTTAAAGTAACCCTTGTGTTAATTTCAATAAAGTTCATGAGTAAAATATACTCCCTCCGTCCCTGAGTATTTGTCTATTTTTGACTTTTTTGGTCAAAATTGGTAAACTTTAACCTCAAATTAAATTAAAATGATCTTAGATATTGATACAAAAAGAGTTTTATTAGATTTATTATATCAAGTATTTTCAAAATATTATTTTATTTAATTAAAATACAATATATATTTTATTTAATTATAGGTCAAAGGTTGAAAACAGTTGACCAAAAAAAGTCAAAACTGGAAAAATACTCAGGGACGGGGGTAGTATGTGATTATTTTTTTTTATTTTTGGAAATTTTCTTTATGAAAGCCCATGTGACTATATTTGTTTCTGCTTTTCAAAAATAAGTTCATGACAAGTCCAATAAATTTCAGGTGTAAAATACATGTGATTAACGTTATATGATTTTTTTTGAATTTTTATGTGAAAACAAATGTTACTATAATTGTTGTTATACTTTGTTTTGATAATAAATCCATTTGACAATTCCAGTAAGCTTTAGTTGTAATACATATGTGATCCTTTTTTATTTTTTGGAAAATATTGTTTTTGAAATGTATCACATGTGACTAATTTTTTTTTGCTTTTTAAAAAATAAATTAATTTCATACTTTACTAATTATTTCCTTTTTATCCATGTGTTCTACAAGTTTTTAATATTTTAGTCTATTTATAATCATTTATTGATGTTGGAATAATCTATGGGCTTTTAGAATCTAAACTAATCTTGATATGGAGTAACAAAATGCATCAAAATCTACAAGTCCAAGAGATTTAAAGAAACCTATTGACTATTGACTTCAATAAAGTACAAAATCCATTGCATTTACATAATCTAGGGGTTATTAAAAGTATATCAAAATTTTTTAAAATTTGTATTGACTACATCCCCATAATAAGTAAAGACCATTTATGGAAACCACTTAATTAGAAAGGACCATTTGAGAACTTACTCTAAGATTAGATTGAAAATACCAAAAATGTCCCCCACTTAATAGCCATATAACAAATTTTTTAATGGAGGATTACCGAGAGAATACATCTCAATTATAAAGTTCCACGTTGGTAATTATTGCTTATTGAGTGCTGACTTGGGAAAACACCTTATTAGAAAGGACCATCTTGGGAATTTACTTAAAACTTAATTTGCTAATAAAACTTAGAAGGATACTCTTGAGGAGCTTGAACATGATTAGGAGTTGGCAAATATCAAATCTTGTATGGAAACATGCTAACTCTTTGAAGATTAATTGCTCTTTTTTGGGATTTTACATTTCTTTATTTTCAATTTCAAATTGACTTTATCAAAAATTGCATGATGTTCCATGTGGTGCTAGGGAACAGTATGAAAGAGTCGTTATTTACCATAGAGTTTTCTGACACTTGCTCTATGCCTTTAATTTTTGCAGGGCTGTTCACGCATTCTTCTCAAAGAAAATGATCGTCAAGACCTCCTAAGGAAGACGAGGAATACGAAGTTGGATCATTTGAAGAAGAATGAGCTGCAAAAAAAAGTTTTACTGAAGTGCAACAACCTGACAACAGGCCACAAGACGGCATTATGTTCTAGATGTGGATACATCAATGGTATGAAAATTTTTATGTACTTTTATGTATTTGTGAGGCTGCCTATCTGGCCTTGTGAGTAGTGATATTTTCTAATTACACACACCACCACCCCACTAGAACTAAAACAATTAGAAGTGAACACTTGAAGGATCAAAACACATATTCTATATTTGTGTCATTATTTTGAATAAAAACAGGTAATACTCCAAAGCTAGCACCCCTCAGGTTTTAGTAATTTCATTGTTGGCTTGTTTCCTTATTTTTCCTATGAATGATGCATCATGTATAGTGTATGATACTGGATAATTTACTTTTTGAATAGTCTATTTGAGCAGATATCAGTCTATTGTATTGATCATATATATTATATATATATTCTAGGCATGGTAAAAAAAGGCCCTATGAAGATCATCCATGAAAACGGAAGGCAGTTTGTAGATGAGTGCCACAATGCTCTTCCTAACAAGGGATCGATTAATGTGCCTCCAGAACTTAACGCGATGACAGTTTATTCCCTTTTCATGAAAATGACAGATGAGGTACTGATTTGACGTCTACTATTTATTTAATCAATACTTGTGCTTATTGTGTAGTTAATTCTTTTTCCTGCCATACAATCTTAGTTTTGTTCCTGCTTTTTTTTGTTTCCTATGTTAAACCTAGCAAAGTTGATTTTGTACTTTTTCAGTATCGTGCTAATACCCTTGTTGGCTTGGTTTTTTAAAGGTTTAGTAATAAATTCATATTGGTTACTTTTTATTTCTTATTAACAATTTTCTAATTCATTTTTATTTTTTATTTTTTAAGTCATGTATCAAACCCAAATAATATTATTTTTAAAATCTTTTATAGTAGCAATTTTCTTGGTTGTACAAAATTTCAAAAATGCTGGAATAGGATTACCTTCGGTAAAACCAAATGCTATTTAGATGTGAATTTTGAAATAGGTGTATGGACTCAAAGAAGAAATCAATACCGTGTCTATGGAATTAAAATCTGTACTCAAATGGTATAATATTCCTGTCCAAATACTCGCAACATTTTCTTTCCGCCTTGACTCGTCACATAAATTAAACAAGATGAGGTGTAGCTGTGGTTTATTTAGAAAGATATAAGAACCTTTACATCCTCAAAGTATTTACTCAAGAATACACTAAAGGGGCATGCTACATGCACCTTGATTTGCACACAATGGTGACATGACTATACAACTTTTGTTGCATCGACTTTTTGAACCTTATTTAACAAATCTTATCCTTTCATATTAACAGCACAAGCCAGTTTGAGTGTAATCTCAATGCAAGTTTAAAATTTCAATAAATAAAAGCTGCCATTGTATCTTTCCTAGGGCTATAAAAACTCCTTCAAGTGTTTTTATGATATGAAAAAAGGTGGGTAACCTTAATGTATCACCTGTTAAGTCTCAAATAATATATCATTGTAGAAGTGTCGTACTAAAAACTTATACTCCATAGACAAGAACATATGAATAAAGACATCAACAATGTTCCTGCCTATAATTGCAGTTGGGATATACCTGTCAAAAGTACAATGAGGTATGTAGTTAGGAGTTGGCCCCAATAAGGACATACATAAATATGCTATTACAAGGGAAAGTAATTTTAAGCACTACTTGACTAAAGACATGTTATGTTGGCCTAATAGCAAATCTAAAGACTAATTACGAGTACTATAGTAGTTCTTAGTTTAGCTTATGCATCAGTAGGATTCTATAATATCCTACAGAAGGCAGGGCAGTCCGCTCATTTTTTTGAAGTATTTTAGCCTTACATTCTATACTCTTTAGTCCTTCATAATTAAATGAAGTGTGAATGTGTGAGATACCCTAGCTTTAGATTTTACACCTGGTTAAATAGTTGCTAATTTTAAGTTGAATTTAAATATGAACTCTTCACATACAAAAAAGTACATCATGCTTAGCGCTTAACATTACATTGTAGCAGGTATCATTTTCTGTTTCCTAATTATAGTTCTTTTCATATTCCTATCGTGTGTAGGACTGTGAGCTGCTTTATCTCAGTGATAGGCCAGAAAAACTTCTGATTACAAGTATCCTTGTGCCACCCTTATCAATCCGTCCTTCTGTCTTTTTGGATGCTGGACTGCGAAGGTTTGTCTTGCTCAATTTTATGTGAGCTATTAATGAGGATTTAAGCTTTTGTTGTGAAAATTCATTGGTTACGGAATATGTGCTTCTTATAAAATCTAATATGTGACCTAACTACTGTTGAGCATGGTTAGTTGATTTTCTTGTGAACACCAAGAAATGTAGTTGCACTTAGACATGCAGTTTGTTTATATGCCTTATATGCCTCGGCCTGTTGTAATTGTTTGAGCATAGAACTAGAAAACTTTCTACTATGCAATTCTTGGGTTGATGGAATATGGTGTTCCATGTCAAAGCTGTTAAGTCATGCTAATTACTCTTGATTATGGTTATTAGTAGGATAGGTGAATAGCACCATTGCCCCCTCTGGTTTTGAACAGGAGCTCCAACACCCCCTGTGTTTTCTAAAGTATCTTATAATATACCTATGGTTTGTATAGGGTGCATGTTAATCCCTTGTGCTGTTGAATTATTTTTTCTTTGGTATTCACGCCCTAGGCATGCAAATGGAACGCAATTTACTTTTTACTTCCTCCATCTCAGAGTATTTGTCTAGTTTTATCTTTTTGCAGTCAACTCAGATCGACCTTTGACTTTTAACTAAATAAAAATTACATGCTATATTAATTTGATGAAAAATATTTTGAAAATATTTTACAAAATAAACCTAGTAAAATTGTTCTTGTATCATTTTGTATGATAAACTTTGACCATTAATTAAATATTTCTCCGTCCCATAACGTTTGTCACAGTTACTATTACGGCTTCTCAATAGCTTTTGTTTGTTTGTATGTTTTCATTGATCATTTGATAAAATAAGAGATTCTTTTCATATCATATTTGTGAACTTTTGATATACTTTTGAACGGTGTAAATTGTAGCTTAAATTTTTACACCCATTTTTGGTTAAATTAAATTTAAAAGTTATGAAATTTTGTACATTGTTTGGAGAGACAAACATTGTGGGACGGAGGGAGTAAAATTTATACTCCTTCGTAATATATATTGATACAAGAATAATTTTATTAGATTTATTTTGTGAAATATATTCACAATATTTTTATCCAATTAATATAACATGTATTTTTATTTAGACAAGTAAAACGTTGATCTGACTGCAAAAAGTTAAAATTCGACAAATATTCTAGGATGAAGAGACTACAAAGTAAAAAAAACGAGTTCCATTTGCATGCCTAGCGCGTGGATACTGAACAAGAAGCAAATCAACATCACACGGGGTTAATGTGCACCCTTTACAAACCATAGGTTTATTTTTAGTTACTTTTAAAACACATGGCGTGTGGAGCTCCTTTTTAAAATCAGAGGGGGCGGTTGTGCAATTCACCCTTAGTAGGATACTAAGAAGTTTATGGCTCATTCAGTAACAGTGTCAGTTTTAAATTTTTGGTCTATGATTTTTTAAGCCATGTGATATAAGTTGTATAATGAATTAAAAGTAGTCATGATTATGAAAAATCCAGCATAGCGCCACCATCTAGATGTAGATCTGCCGCTGCTGCCATTGGGAAGTAGATCTTCCACCGTCGCTGTCCTCTTCACTGCTAGTTTTATTGTTTTGATGCTTTCGACTTCATTCCTTATTTCCTTTCTTTGTTTTCCGTAATTGTCTCTTTTGTTTTACCTTTTTGGGCTGGGATGGGTCGAGGGACGGGTGATGGTTCTGGATTGGATGTCAAATTTACAACAACGAAAACAACATTTCCCAGTGCCTCAAAGGGTCCTACCCATTGCAGCCTTGCGGGGTAAGGGTGCTTCTCGTAGCCTGAGTGACCCTATGTTTAAAACATAGAGCAACTGTTTTAACATGACTCATGATGAGTGATGAAAGTTGCATTGACTAACTTCTACTTCCCTATTAAAGAAGCGCAGACAGCTTACAGAACCTTTTTGCTTTATTCCATCATACCCCAAAACTAAAAATAGAGAATTCCTAGCTCCATCAAAGATGGAAGCAATTGGATATCAATTTTACACCAAAAGACAATATATACACGGAGTATATTAAAGAATTAAAAATACGGAGTGCTTGAGTTCTGGTTTATTTTAGAGCAATTAAGCCTCCGTTTTGGAGTACTACTTTATTTGAGAAGTACTTTTCTAAATGTCTGATTCTTAACTATGTTTCAAGCGGTCTCCTGGGCGACCAGGCAGTACATTGGCTTGGCACCGTGACAACTATGATCCATACCATGAAAAATATTGGCTGCCTGTTTATCCCAAGCTGCAGATTTTCTGACTTATTCTAATCAAAATATCAAAATATGAAACAAACACAACCAAAATGATTCTAGCTGATTCTAGGAAACAGAGTCAGCTAAGAAATCTAATTGAGATGAGCCCTCATAGGGTTATTATGCTGATGACAAACATCCTATCATAGTATCACATCAAACACATTTTGTTCAGTGAGAAATGAGAGTTAACTAGTAAATTGATATCCTGTTTCTTTTATTGCAGTAATGAGAATGATATCACAGAGAGGCTGAAGCTCATTATCCAAGCAAATGCCATTCTTCAACAACAAATATTGGATGGGATTCATCCTGCCAAAAATTCGGTATGCCATTATTATGATAAGATCCTCACTTATTCACTGTTGGTCTGCCATATATCACCGTCATATGCTGATATTCTTAACAACTTTCTCATAGAAGTTGAGAAAAAAATCCGACATGCCATTTTGCTGTGTTGCCACAATGGCTCCCATTTAACAACATTGCTCGCCGTGGGTATATTAGAATATGAGTGTATTTGCTGTTGAATATAAGAATCTCCAAAATATCTATTTATACATATTGAAAGCATTCTTCGAAATGGCATGGCGTAAACGCACCTCATGGCGTGCCTCAGATCCAATCTGGGCAAGTATACGCCCCAGGGGCCAGGGCTATCTCTCTATGTGCTATGCGCTTTACTCAGGGATTATGGTTTGTTGCGTACGCTTGAGGACTCTTACGCCTCATGGAAATAGGGTTGCGTATGCTATTTTCCCCAATTTTTTAGATAAAGTTCAAGTTAGTCCATCCAATAAAAATTTAAGTGTACCTGATAACCTGAAACCTTTAGCTAGTCTTGTCATCATCCCCTGGCTTTCCTCTTTGCTCTTCAACTCTACGTGCACATTCTTTTTGGCTCTCTTGATTTGGCTCGCTTTATTTTTTTGAGTAATTTTAGTAACAAAAATGAAGAAAAAAAATTCACCCACTCTCATCTTCTCCATAATTTTAAAATTTCATTTGTTGTTAACATGGTGTTTATTGTTCTTCAATTATTTTATATTTTTTGTTTTTCATTTTTTGTTAAATTGGAAAAATAAAATGGGTGGGATTATGATAGTTCGCGATTTTTGTGACTTTTTTTTGTGACTCTAGCATTGCTCTTAGTTTTTGGCTTATTAATCTAAGCTTTACTGTTTCATACTATAGAAATCATCCTAAATAGGACTAAAACATAGAGAAAAGTATCAAAATAGGACTTTCATGTTTTTTTCCCGGAATAGGACTTTGCACTGTAGTAATGTGACTTTGCATTGTGGTAATGTGGCAGTGTACATGTGCAAATTACTATACGTTTTTGGTAACGTATATGACCATGTTTGGTAATGTAAGTCCTATTTCGGGAATAAAAACATGGAAGTCCTATTTTGGTATATTTTCAATGTTTTAGTCTTAGTTTGGTCTTTCTCCCTTCATACTACTCTCTCTCTTTCTCTCTCTCTCTCTCTCTCTCCCCTCTTTCTTGTCTTTTTTATTTTTTGCTCATTAATCTCAGCTTTTCTTTTCTGTTGATTTTTTCTTCTCTCTTAGGTGCGTTTTTTTTTAGTAAATAACTTGCTGTTTGAAGTTGTTGGTTATTTTATGTACATGAATTTTAGTGTTATTTTTTTTTTTTTTGAGATTTCTTGACAGATTGCTTAAATGTCAGACCTAGCATGGAAATATGAGGTAGACTCAACACCTTAAAATGAAGGATTAATTGTGTTTGAGACCTTTTACTGGGACTATACTTTTTTCATGTTTATGGATTAATCATGTTCTTAATAATGTTCTATTTTAATTTTAATACTACGTTATATTTTTTAAATATCAGTCCTTTAAAATGAGGCTGTCGTCTCAATACGCCTCGAGGCTTACGCAATACATCATGAAAAATAATGCCTCAAAACCGCAATACGCCATTTCAAACATTCATTTAGAGACTATGTATTGGCTCAAGGTTAAATAGAAAAACTGAAGGATTGTATTTGTTTGTGAAGATTAGTAAATTAAGTAAGCACATGAAAGACTTAAGACACTTGCAACAACATGATATATCCCTGAAGGAAGCTGATGTTCTTTAGAGGAATATCCACTCTAGTGCAAATATTGAAACATAGTGCTTAACAATATGATTTCTTTTTTGTTAAGAAGTGCATGTAAGGCAATTTGGGATTTGTTGGACATTTCAAGCTTGCGTTTAACCCACATGTATAAAGCAAATGCTGCACATCGTTGAGTTGGTTAAAATTAGATTCTTAGATATTAAATAAAGGGCATCTTTGTAATACGTTGCCACTCTGTAGTCTGTAGTGATCATTCGATTAAGTGTATGATATTCAACTTAAAGAAGTTGCTTGTTCATTTTAATGGATCTTTTAATATTTAATATCTGGTATTGTCAAATGATTTTAGATTGCTCGTAATGAATTTGTGACTGTATTTTTTTGCCAACATATGGTACTTATTTTCCTTAAAGTTAAGGCAAGTGAGCCAGAAATCTTTTATTATATTTTCCTCAGGACTTAGGAATCACTTGTTAATGAAATACATTGTTCTTCTTAAATCTATTGTCGAACATGGCAATGTATAGAATGTTTTTACTATAATTTTGTCCGACTGCTCTTAACTTTCCATCGCTCTCTTGCTGTGAGTTTATTTTCTCATACATCCCTTTTTAATGCATAAAAATGGGTTAGCCTGGTTGGGTTGATTTGCAAGCGGAAGTTGCACAGTACATAAACAGTGAAGTACGTGGATTGCCACCATCAAAGCAACTTTCCAAGCCACTGAATGGCTTTGTTCAGCGTCTCAAAGGAAAGCATGGTCGTTTTCGTGGAAATTTATCTGGAAAGCGTGTTGAGTATACTGGTCGTACTGTTATTTCGCCTGATCCAAATCTCAAAATTACTGAGGTATTGTGTTTCTGTAAGTGGTTTTGGCAGTCTCTTTAACCAAACGAAATGGTAAATGACTATAATTTTGCAGCTTGCAATTCCAATCTTCATGGCCCAAATCTTAACATTCCCGGAGCGTGTTTCAAAACACAACATAGAAAAGTTACGGAAATGTGTTCGTAATGGTCCCCACAAATACCCTGGTGCCAAGTATATAGTGCATCCTGATGGTACAGAGATGTAAGAAGCATACTTCTAACTTCTCAGTTGTCACTCAAAAATAAATGTTTGTATCTATGTATGACTTTTCTGTTTGTGGTTCGTCATCTGCAGGTCGTTGATGTACTCCAGTAGAAAGCGTCAAGCTGACGAGTTAAAGTATGGTTACATAGTTGTTCGCCATTTGGAAGATGGTGATGCTGTTCTTTTTAACAGACAGCCAAGTCTGCATCGAATGTCTATAATGTGCCATAGGGTGACTATACTACACAAAAAGTTTATACAAGTTTCTAGATTTGTTTATATTAACGGGTTCATTGGTTGCAGGCAAGAGTAATGCCTTGGCGCACATTGAGATTTAATGAATCTGTTTGCAATCCCTACAATGCTGATTTTGATGGCGATGAGATGAATATTCATGTCCCACAAACGGTAGAAGCCCGCACAGAGGCACTTTTGTTGATGGGGGTAAAATAATTGGTCACCTATCAATGGCCCAATAATTCTTATGTGGCTGTTTGCATTTGTTTTTCTGTACCTTCTCGTCTATCTTGCTCTCTAAATGTACTTTTATTTTAGTGTACGTAAAAAATAGCTGTTTATATTGTGTATGATTGATTTATTGAGAGATTTATTCATTGAAAAATTGACTCTATTGCTTCTCCTTGTGTCCATGAAAATATTTTCTTGAAAATGTTCCTTGGATTTTATATGTTTTGCACTAGAATATTTTTCCCGAAGGAAATTATTTTCCATGATTGTCTGGACTATTGTAAAAAATGACGCCTGCTTCTGAAAGAGGTCATACCCTTTTTATTTATTCTTATGTGTTAAGCATTATATTATGAGCATTATAAATTTTTCTCCAAGAAATTTTTTCCGCAACTTATTTTCCTGCAATCTATCATAGCCTTGGATAAGACTTTCATCACATGGTAGGTTGAACTCAGAATATGCAAACTATCTGTTTGGGGATTGAGAGAAATATGTCATCAATTCGAGTCTTGAAAAATTGGATAAATTTCATTTGATTGTCACCAGTTCATTAAAATTGAAAGTAGTAGACAAGACTAATATATTTAAGATTGAAAAATAATATATTCAGTTATTTGACAAAGAGAGACAAAAGCGGCAGATTTAGTATATTAAATCTTGTCAAATATTGTATTTATAGCAAATTTTATCTGATTCAACAAATGTTCTAGTACTCTCTTAAAAAAGTTAGGGATCAATCTTTTTAAAATCCCGAGTTTATTTCGTGTTTTCCTTTAAGTTCATAAATAAATTGGTGACTTGTTCAGATCCTACACTGATAATATAATTAGAGAATGTTGGTATGTATTCCTGCCCAGCCTGATCTGAATTTTGGAAAAATTGTTATGCTTCATCAAATAGTTTTCACGTGTGAAGTAAGCCCTATATAAAGCCTGTCAGACATGATCTCTCTATCTCTATTTCCTTATGTTCTACCATTGGTTTCACATACTGATGCTTATTGTTATGCAGGTCCAAAACAATTTATGCACTCCTAAGAGTGGAGAAATCTTGGTTGCCTCTACTCAGGATTTTCTTACATCTTCTTTCCTCATTACAAGGAAGGACACTTTCTATGACCGTGCTTCTTTTTCTCTTATGTGTTCGTATATGGGAGATGGGATGGATCACATCGATTTGCCAACTCCAACAATAATTAAGGTTTTTTTCATGAACTCCATATTTCTTGTTTGAACAAGTTTATTTTAATATTTTGCCATTCCCTCTTTCATCTCTTCTTTTCTTGTTTTTAATGATTGGTTTTGTTTCAAAAGAATCACAAAAAAATATTTTATTGATAGTTGATACTAATGTTTTTCATACAAGAACCATTTGCAAAATATAAGATCTACTATTACGTTGTTATATATATGATTTGTTTTGTGAAACAACCATCACCAACCGTTCTGCTGATTTTTTGAAGAAAAAAATAACTGTTTGGATGAATAGTATCAATGTATTAAGGGGCGTTTGGTTTGAACATGAGAATCAGCATTGAAATGAAATAAATAGATATGCAGACAACCAAACACGCTGAATGAAATAAAGGCATAGACGTGCTAAATGCAATAAACATATGGAATGTCTTTTCTTAGAGACTTTTGGGGCCTGTTTGGACAAGATTTACAAGTTCTAACTCTAAATCATGAATTTAGAGCTCTATTTAGAATTGGTGATTTAAAGTCATCTATACTACAAGAACTTGTTTTGATGGTGTGATTCTATGCGTAGATAATTTATCCCAAAAAGTGATGAATTAAGATAATAAAAATTGGAAAACAATATTCAACCCCAGAACGAAATTATCCGACGTCAGGTAGGCATGGCACCAGTGGAAGATAAGTTGCGGGAAGCGAGGTTGAGATGGTTTGGCCATGTGAGACGGCGGGATGCTGACGCCCCTGTACGGAGATGCAAGAGGATTACGGTTATCAGGGGAAGTAGGGGAAGGGGTAGACCTAAGAAGAATTGGAAGGAGGTGATTAGGCAGGATCTAGGACTTCTCGACCTGACTGAGGTTATGGCCCTAGATAGGAACCTTTGGACAACTAGGATTAGAGTAGCTGGATAGGAGCTCGGTGTTGTAGAGGTTGTTTTGTAGTGTGTTGTATTTGTTTGGAATCTTCTGCTATTGCTTGTACTTGTTGCTTGTACTTGGTACTTTATCTGTGATATACTGTGTTCTCTTCCATATTTTTGTGCAGGTGGAGCCGGGGGTCTCTTGGAAACAGCCTCCCTACTTTCGAGTAGGGGCAAGGTCTGCGTATACACACCCTCCTAGACCCTACTGTTGTGGGAACCTGGGTTGTTGTTGTTGTTTGTATTCATCCTCACTCTTCCATGTCAAGGTTTTCCTATTTCTGGCCACTTCCCCAACTTTCTTTGCCGCGACAATTGACAGCCCTCTTAGACTATGTTTTCTTCGCGATCTAATTTGTTACAAATATTAAAAAAATAATATAAATGCACACCACGATGTAGACGAAATAGGCACTCAATTAAGTTATAAAAAATTGATTACATTGTATAAAATATTCAATTTTGTTTCGGTCTCTGTCTGTGTATATACAAAAGATACATATGTCTGAGTATATACAAAAAATTTAAAAAAAACAAAGAATTTACAGAAAAAAAGTTGGGAACAGATCTAAGAAAAAACAGGGTACTCTTTTTTTTTTTTAAAAAAAAAGAGGATTCCTACTGTTCATTGAGTTTGAAAACAAAAAAGAAGAAAAAAAATGAAAGACAAATGAAAAAACTAATTACGGAGGAAAGCGGGCTATGACGAGTGAGTGAATCGAGTGCCAGAGACTTTGGGTGAGATAGATGGCTTTCGGCAGGACCCCTCCCGAGGATGCTGCCCTTTAGACCCTGCTACCAAGGGTTGCTGCCCCCCGAACCCTGCTAAGAAACTTATCATGCCGTTAAATGAGCGTGTAATCCACAACTTTGAATTCGTATCAATGTCTATCAGAATTTTCTTCTGGTCTCAAGTAAATCCAGTTGTCCACAATAGACGATGACACTAAAATCACCAACAAGTAGTGGCTTCATTATCATTAATTGCACTGCATGTGATATGTGTGAAACATACTACTGGATCTAGTATTAATGTCAGTACATGTGACGATTGTCAAGCAGACAATCACAACCTTTACTCCTTTAGGGTATTTAAATATTAATTAATGGATGTTCACAACATAACTACTCAGAGATTTCCAACTCACCGTCACATGTGATCAAAGCTACAACTAGTTGGTGGGATTAACAGGACATATGCCTGGACCATAATAACTTGACCTTTACTCACTGGCTCGTGTAGTCAGAGCTATAACTGAGAACTTTAGTTATTAGGGTTAGAATAAGTACAAGACATAATGTCTTTAGCTGAACTTTTACAAGCAACTTAGCTATCAGGGTTCAACTCTAGTCTTAGATTTGGGAAAAATGTACGAAGGCATGGATCTTATAATATGTAAGTATATCTTTTATAAAGTCTGAACTGAATTTGAAACTGATATCTGGATTGCACAATAGCTTTGCCTGAGCTTCTGAACATTTTAAATGGCAGGTTTCTTCTTACGTGCCAATCTACCTAAAATCTTATTTGTACATCTTTTACTAAACTCACATTTAATCTCTTCACGGAAGTATCTCAGTGAAACTGTTTTTTGCAGCC